TGAACAAATAATACCAGACACATATATACACAGAACACACACACAGTGGTGATCACTGTATAAAAGGTGCACAGTGCTCCCACATAAAGCTTGAAAGGGTGCTTCACACAAAGGGGAAGCGGTGGACACACACAGTCTCTCAGACTCATGTCTATGAATAGCCTTATATGTGAAAACATCATATTAGAGGGTTGCATGTTCTCTCACTTCCTCATTTTGTCTGTTTGACCCCAGTCAGCTGGATGAATCATCACAGAGGGTAAAATATGTTGCCAGTTTGTGTCTGAGAATGCTAGACATTCAAAAAGGCATTTTTTGTCTTGTGATGTGACGCATTGTTATCTCCTTTTTTGAGACATCACAAATAAGATGTTGTGGTCAAAATATTATTGGTTCTATTCTTGTTCGAGTTAATTTTCTCACATTCAATATTTCTCTCTCAATATAGTTCACAACACTGAGTAACAGGCGTCGGAATGCACTGCAGGGGAAACTACTGCATTATCCAACACTCCCACAAGTAATGACGCATACATTGCCAGGAAAAGACAAACTTCTGAAAATGTCTTCAATTTCTTGGAAGTAGGCAGACTTTTCAGTGCCCTACACAGCTTTTCAGATTTGTTTTGTCCACACAATAACTTTTTAGTGACTTTTGAGCAGCTTTTATTTTTTTCTAAAGGCAGATCTCTATTGAAAATCTTAGTTGTTTGGTTTAGATATCATTTTTTAATCAATCTTTTCACTTATTTTGTTAATCCAATAGCCTATGAACTATGTTACCTTTTTGTTTCTGATGCCATGTCCACCTGGACACTCCTTTTCAGTGCAAATATTTTTCAAATCCCTTTATGGCGCGTAGCTTAGACGGGGAAAACTATGATTTTGGCTTGTAACGTATATGCTGATATCGTCTTTGTGTGGCATCACAAATACGGCTGTGGAATTGCCGACATAGCCAAAACATTGTTTGTTTAAAACTTGCTAATACATATTTACTTTACATACATGTACAGTTCTCTTCTGCTATATAGAGGAACAGAGGCTTTAGACTCCGATAAGACAGACCGGGATGCCAATGTCGACGGTTAAGGAAGAGACCCTTATTTGGAGGGCCATTTATGCCTTTTCCCTTTTGGGAAAATATCCTTGCAAAGAATATGACAATATTAATCAGTTAAACTATTCATCTTCTGGTCAACAGGTTAGGCAGATTTCTCGAATATTTTGAAAAGCAGATTCCTTCTGAATAGCTTATTTCTTTGGTTTCAACATTGTTTTTAAAAGTGAGACAATTACACACCATCGATCTCATGACAGTCGAACATGTGGTATTTTCTCGACCACAGCACAACGCAACACGTACAACATTTTCCAATTAAGTGTAAGCAGCTTTTAATATTTTTAAAACACTCAAATATAATAGTTGTGGGGGAAACTTCTGTAGCAATGGAGGGTCAGGACTCAGAGAGACACGAGGAGAGCTGGAGCTTTGATGGCAAACACTGATGGTTCATTTGGAGTTACGGCCGGAGAGTTGACAAGACAGGTGGTGTGTCGCGAGTTGACACAGCGGTTGCCAAACCAATTCTGAAGAACTCTTTCTGTAGCTCGATGTTTTAACTAGTTCGGAGTGTAATTATCAACATTCTTCATCAGTGAGACTAAACAATTATGGACCCTGAATCTAACTAGAGCTCTCGTCCATAGAAAATAATGTGCGCCAGGGAACCTACGTCCCTGAACAGTAAACTACCTCATGGCAGCTTTTGCTCGGTCATAGACTGGCAAGTGGCAACAACAATGCGCCCAAGCTGCTTCTCCTTAAGAGAGATAGCAGCAATACCCAAGACCTATGCCATGGGAAAGGAGACAGTGAGAGGAGAACATGATGAACTGTGTCAAAGGTTGAATACCTAAGCAAATTATTCCCTAACAATAGTAATAGTTAAGACTTAAGGAAGTTAGCACAGAGAGGCTATCAGTGTTGACTTACTGCTAACTACGCTTTGACAGTAAATAGCCAGACACACACACACAAACGCATACACACGCTTACACACACAACGCTAAGACTGCCGGTGATCCTTGAGGGCAGCCATGTCAACATGTCAACTGTCAACTTTCCTTCCCCCACACACACACTCACACATGCTGGGCTGTAAAAGTGTGTCACCAGGGGAAAGGGGAGAGGTGGGTGAGAGCAGTGAGTCCCATGGGAGCTGTGATGGAGTTACACACTCATACTCCCTCCCTCTGTCAAAGTGGCGGCAGGATCAGGTGTGAATTTCTGCTCCACTTGTGGTCCCACAGTTTATCCTCTCGCCCTTCCTACTCTCATGAAACGATGTGATATTAATGATCTGTTTCATAAATGATCCCTCGGCCTTTCATCGTCTCTCTTCTCATCTTATTCCTCCGTCTTGTTTTTCTCAGAGGCTCTGGGAAAGTCCTTCTTTATACAACCTCAGTTTTTGCTAAGCCACTGTTACCAACTTGTTTTTCCACTGGTTATGATGATGATAAGACGTCAATTTATTTGTTTTGAAAGTGAAAATAAACGGTATGACACCCAAAACGTACATAAAAGTCTTTAATTACGGCTAGACTGCTCGCACACAAACCCAAGTATTTGTAAAAAAAGGGAGATATGTTCCTTTATAAAGCACGCAGACATTCCTCTTGCTTCGTGTTTAAAGATAGAAAATAGTTATAATTACATATATAACAGTTCTTGTTAACCTACTGAACATAAATCAGTTTCATGCCATGTCTTTGCTCTTGTCACATTTTACATACAGTACTTTTGTGTGGCCCCATTTCTTCTGCACCTCTATTAGATACATAGAAAAATATCATGGTTACAGGTTGAAGGGAACTGTATTGCCATAAATCATAAAAAAAGAAAAATCTCATGTGATCTTTGGACTTAGACAAGTCAGTTATGGCTTCCTTGGAGTGTTGAGGGGTACAGAAAGTATCTTTTGGCACCATTTTAAATAAGACCTGTTCTTATAGAGTGATTTTGATGAATTATCACTGTTTTAAAGGGGTATGCTCATTTTCAGGTTTCATAATTCTATTTTGTGCCTCTATGGTCACATGTTTTAATGTTCAAAAAGGTCTTTATTTTTCTCATACTTTTCACCCTCTGTCTGAAACCAGAGCCCAGCCCTTAGTGACCTATCACGTAAAAGATGTTCGAGCACTAGCCAATTGAATGTGTTACGTAGTGATGTCACTTTGTTAAAGGTGGGGTATGTAATTTTGGAGAAACCAGCTCGAGTGCGCTAGAATTTGAAAGTAAACAACCGGAAAAAATCTGCCCCTTCCTTCCGACTTCCTTACAGAGCCCCTCCTCCAACACACACGAACGCGCACATGACCAATGAGGGCACGAGATAAGTTTGTGCACAGATGGAAGGCTGACAGGCAGGTAGGCCATTCAGTTATTTTAGCCGGGCCGGCTAAAATGATTGGTCGTGCTTTTTACAGCGCCACGGCTTCCACAGAGGAATTTTTTTAATGTATTTATTGTCAAAGCACTTAATATATTCATTGCTATCGGGATGTTAAGAGCATTCCATGGAATATAACAAAAAGTGTTTCTGAAATAAATTACATACCCCACCTTTAAGTGTAAGGGAGTAAACAAAGAATTCCAATCGAGGCGTTTCAGACTGGGTGGCGGGGTTTTGTGGGAGAGAAACCCCCTCTGGAGGCAACTTTGGAATTTTACCCTTTGCAGACCATTTACATGCACAAAAACACTACAGGAAAGGGAAACCCCACAAAAGCATAAAAGGGCGGCCCCTTTAAGCTTAGATTTGGTTGAGGGTGAGGGAAGTGTTTGTCAATCATCATTCGTTTTAGGACCGTTGTGAATGTGAACATCCGAAGATAATTTCTGTTATTACACTGTCTGGCTATGATAAATGGTCTAATTTGTGCCCATTTTTTAAAAGGAAACCTGCTGGCTGGTTGTTGGGTTTAGAGAGGCAGTAACATACATTGAGAAGCACCACTGAGCAAGTAAAAGCACATGGCCATTGATTTACTTGAATTTAATTACCCCCGTCTCCTGCTCTAAATGTTCGTCTTTCACAATTTCAGTTTTATGCAAGCTTTGCCGCAGACAGGCGGTGGTTTCAGTGCTCTTTCTTCACTCCTTTACCACGCTGCTGTGGTGTTTTTTCTAAGCCAAATGTTCCTCAGCAGTTAACTTCTGCCTTTTTTGTATCTACCGCTTTTTAAACTCATGGCAGTTTACATCAAAGCATTTACCCAAACATCAAATCTGTTTTACGGATCTGTTTCTAGTTAGTTAAAGGCACCAAAATGTTGAATCTTCACTTCTAACCTGCATTTCTTCCTCCCATATTCCTGTATGCAAATGACACCATGATGGAAAAACATAGAATCATGATTGCTACAACATTGTATCTGTAGTATTCCTATAATGTAGTTCATTTCGATCAGATGCTTACCTATCGAGCCAAGTCACCTTATGTTACAGTTTTCTTCAAGACAGCTGGTAGGATCACATTTAAAACAAGCTGATATGTATATCTATATATGTTAATGGCTTAAAAATTCATTGCGGCTCATCACACTTGTGCATGTTGGGCTAAATTGCTAGAAAGATGTCAGATGGCATTACACGGTCACTGAGCAAACCATGTAGCGAAATAGATAAATATGCGACAATGGCCCACAGGCACGCATCAACTGAATTCCTTATATGTTCCTCCCTATGTGGTTGGAAAGATATTCAATAAGGCTGAACATGGATGAATCACACATGAATCTCAACTTGTAATGTAAGCGTTTAAATCATTAAGGAGAGAAAAGGGATTTTTTGTGAAGAGTTCTTGCATTATGTTTCAATCTTCTCTACAATATAGCACAAAATAACATATCTAATTCATATCCCTCCTACTGTATGACCTCTTACCGAGTGACGAATGCTAACTCCTTGTGTGTTTCCTGTCCCTTTGCAGAAGTCGGATCCTGGCCAGGTGTTGTTGGAAGCTGTCTTTAAGCACCTGGAGCTGACTGAGAGAGACTACTTTGGCCTGTACTTGGCTGATGACTCCTTAGACGCACCAGTCAGTATAATGTTTATCAATCTACAGAGTGTTTGTGAGAATGGGTGTGTGCCATGGATGTCTAAAGAGAACTGAATGCAGCATTGGAGGCGAGGCACCGTACGTCCCTATGAAAGGTGCTCAGAGGCGCTTTAAGCGGAAATCCCTTGACTCTTGAGACCATAAATACCCTTATGTCCCGGCGATCTTCCACATCAATTGGCCCCATAGCACTTGCGTTTGCCTTAAGCCTCGCTTGCAATCCACTCCATCTCAGAAGCATGTCTCTGCTTAGACAAATAAATAGAGACGGAAAAAAACTTTCGGCTCTTAGCGCTTTTAACAACTTTTAGTGCCTTCCAATTGTAGGTTTACATTACAAAATATATGATTTATAGATGTCTCTTCTGCAATTTAAGCCAAAAGGAAAAATATTTTTTGGGCCCAGTGATGTCACGGACTAACATGGAAGTAATACCTCCGTTTGGCCAATATAAAAATTTACTTCAACTTCAAACTCACTTCCTGTGTTATTGGTGTGTGCCAGCTGAAAGTCGTGTAGAAATGGCAGTTCTATCCCAAAATGGAAACATTTTTTATTAATTTTTTCTAGATTTATATAGTGCTTTTCAAGTCTTTGCGACCACTCAAGGATTCAACACAAGTTAGAATCTGCCCGTTCATATATAGCATATACTATTATACGAGGTACCACACATCATTGGCCATTCCAACAGGAGCAATTTGGTATTCTGTATCGTGCCCAAGGACCCTTAGAGATGTTGCAGAGGCCGGGGATTGAACTACTAACCGCTCTACCTGATGATCCTGACAATTTGTTGCGAGTTGCAGATTGTTGGAGATATCTGCCGTAGAGTTTTCCATGCCTCAAATGTGATGGAACTGGAAGGCACTCAACTTTAGATGTGGCAAAAGATACATTGAAAAAAACCTACAGCAGTATCTTTTTTTTAGAAATCATGACCAGGTTGCTCATGATAATCCAAAAACCCGTTGTGAGCAGTTTCATGTAGGATCTATTGTCTTTCTATCCGACTACACCTTCCTATCGTCCATGAGTACGTTTGACACATTGTTGGCTGTTATTCTGTGATTAAAAAAAAGTAGCTCCTACATGAAAGTGCTTACAACATGATCCGTGGATTGTCTTGAGTTTAGGTGTCATCATTTTTGAAGAGATGGGTTCCTGTTGATTATTTCAAATGTATTTTTTTGTGGTGCTTTGAGCATCACAAGTCATCTGGTTCCATTCTTTAGCAAGAAGGCAATCATCTCTACGGCTGATATCTTCAACATTCTGCAACTCACACTAAAACAATCTAGAGTGATAAAAAGCACTGCAGGTATGAGGAAAAATATGTTTTTGGGATATTGGTATCCCTTTAATCCATTGACCTCAAATGTGTGTTGTTTGTGTGCGTAAGTGTTTGCCTAAAGCAGAACTCTTAAAAATAAACTCATAAACATAGATACATTATAACTGTGTGAATAACTAACTAGAATGTACATTTACTGCATGTCAGTGCATATATTATATTGATGTGTTTAAGTATATTTGTTGGATGTGTGTCTGTGGCCAGCCGTGAATAATTTAGCTTGTTCAACCATGTCATGGAAGGTGTCTCTAAGTGTCTCTTAATCAATATTTTACAGCGCTGGCTCGATCCCACCAAGCCCATCAGGAAACAGTTGAAAAGTAAGTGGCATCCACAACACACCACCACACTAACAAATCCACCACTACTAACAAATCCAGTTCATTTTCAGGAACAAAAAAAGTCATAAAAACCACAGCAGTTCACTCAAGTCCAACGTAATTGCTTGAATTTCACAATTTATTAGTTAGTCCAGCTCCAGCGAAGGTTGCAAATCCAGCCTCCACCTCAAGCAAAAGTCACTCTATGATTTAAAATTCTGAATCTGCCGTGAGCAATGATTAAACTTCATTTCAACTTGTTTCCTTTTTAATAATGAGTAATAGGATTTGTAGAAGAATTAAGACGTAGCCCGAGTGAGAAAGGCAGTCGTCCTCCAGCAATGATTGAACTGAGTTTCAACTCTGTGTTTTTGTGCCGAGTGATTGATTCAGTGAGGAATAACCTCAGGGTTTGGTGTTTTACACAGTGCATGGAGTAAGACTCATTTGTAGAAATGTACGCTTGCTTACTTTTACACTAAGTCATTTATTCCACTTGTTTGTATCTTCTTTCAAATGTGTGGAACTAATCCACTCTTAAAGTATAGGAGCTTACCATGTTTTGTTTTCCACTCATCAGTGGACCTTTTTGGTTCGTTTTCCACAGGAGGGTCTCCCTATAATATGAGCTTCAGAGTCAAATTCTTTGTCACAGATCCCGGAAAACTTCAGGAAGAATACACACGGTAAGAGTGTTCATTTACAGAGAAAATACTGTATTATACTGATTATAACCCAAAGATGCTTAATATTATCGGAGGGAAGGGTAACAAGTAAGGCTGGAAACGCGTCCAAAAATGATCTCAATATGAAAGCGATATAGATAACATCATATGTACTGCGTAGCGCATTGGTAACTTACATGGGTTCCCGGAAAAATAAATTGAAGGAAATCCTGTCAAGCGGTAGGAGTTTATAAAACAATTCACGTCATGCAAAAGTTATATGAAAAACGCCATCATCAAGGCATGTAGTGGTTGTGTTCCTTGCAATATAATCAATGAAACCGCTCTCTAAATGCTATTTTATTCACTATGTGGCCCTTTTACACAGAAGTACTTCCATACGTGTCCTTATTTTACATGAAACCCTGACATGCATACATGTTTTAGGAAGATGTAGTATTGGATTAAACTGCTGCTAACTGCTACTTAAGGAACAATTTGTAGAATGACCAACGCTAAATAATATTCTAGTTTTTGAGTCCTTTTCAAATAGCTTTATTGAGATGAATGAAGTGTCCAGACACAGTTCAAATGGGTACATAGAGCTAATCAAGCAAGAAGTAACATATTGTATACTGTATATATCGAAAGTAATGGGGATCTTATGTAAACAAGGTCATGTTGCTTCTATCCAAATAGCTTTTGGTTTCCAATCATTACAAATGCAGCTTCGTTCTCTCTTGACGTGGGCTCATTAAAGGAACCCGTATGTTTGGCATCACGGCCGTTATGTGGACTCCATCCCACAGTTCTGCAAACATAAGGTCTGCAGCAGCACGCTCTGCACAAACAACATGCAGAGGAGGCGTCACGGCGTCATGCCGCCTTTTCTCTGCCCGCTGTTTATTCCAGCCTCACAGCCCGAGCCTTATCAACACTCTTTATGCAGCTCGTATTAAACAGTGAGCGCTGAGCTGGGATCTGACTCGCTGATCGGGCGTGTTGTACACTCGAGTCACGACCAAAACACACTCCTGATGGCTTTGTCGGACAATGTGTGTAACAAAGAGATGGTGTAGTACACGGGAACGCTGGGATAAACAAGACTGATAACGACAGCTTGGATAAGGAATGGCTCCTGAAAGTATTGCTAATAGTAGGGTGATGCGTTCAGTGTCTAATTCATGTCAGTTATACACTGTACTGTAAATCGCCTCCATTTCCTTTAGTATTTGTTTTAGCGTTTTACAAGAAAAGCCTTTTTTTTTCCACTTTCCATTATTTCTGTCATGGCAAATTAGTTTTGGTTACTTTATTTAAAAGCCTCTGCTTATTAAATTAGATTAACTTCATTGATCGGGATTTATTTTGTCACAGGGCGTTCTTCAAGAGTCAAAAATAAAATAAAATGTAAAATATATATATAAAATAACAGACTGAGTTACAAAACACTGTAATAGACTGACCTACTACCAACACATATGTATTATTGTTGAACTCTATACTATATAAGCACAGTTGTCTTTACATGAAACTGGATTCAATTCAAAACGGAGGTAAAGGTGGATTGGACTCTTATCCTAATGCATATGTTGTCCCCCCCCCCCTCCCCCCAGGTACCAATATTATCTTCAGATCAAGCAGGACATCGTAACTGGAAGGTGAGTGTGTCTTCAGCTGTGTATTTATCGTATGAGTTATATCACAAAGACATGTTGGAATGGATATTCATCAGAGGCTCTAAATACTGTGTATTAAAGGTTACCACCAGAGTAGAGTGCTTTGAAGCTTTATTCAATCAAGATTCATTTATAACGTTTATATTTATGTTGCTTCTCGATGCATTCTGGCAGATTCATATTTATCTACACAAATATAAGTGGTGTTCCAGCTGTTTCTGAATCGTGGGATCCTAACAGATACATCAATCTAGTGTTGTAAAGTCAAAATGTATTGAATTAAAAGCACTTCCAAAAGCTTCATTAAAAAAACCTCAATAAAAGCTTCTAATGTAAAGAAAATAACACATTCGTTAAAGCCATAAACTAGAGAAACTGACTACAATATATATTCAATGAATTACATATTTACAGTATATGCATTATAAACATCGAACACATGTACAGAAGTACAAACAAAGACAACTTCCTCATTATTGTTTTTGAACAATATGTGCTCATTTTCCTGTTGTTTTTTAAAAGCAGAAATCTGATTGTGTTTTAATGTACTACTATATTTTTACTGTTGAATAGGTTTGTGAATGTAACGATGACATATATGTTTAATCGCTTTGAGGAGCTGTAAATACTGGATAAAGCGCTGCATAAACAAAATCCATTTACTGTGTTATTATGTGAAAATAACTGTAATACTATTTTGCATTGATTCAAAGCTTAATGTTTGTTTATCGTGTGTGTGTGTGTTTCAGATTACCCTGTCCACACAACACAGCCGCACTGCTGGCGTCCTATTCTGTTCAATGTGAGTATGGCTCCCTGGATACGAGCGATGGGAGGGCAATTCATTAGCTTCCCTTTTAGCACACACTGTTAAATGAAACCACTGTGGTTTGCTCCAGTGCATTTAAAGCTGCTGCTCTGAAGCCATTATCATTCAATTATGCTCTGTGGTGATATGTTGATATTATTTACAGTGATATAAATAGACAGTGTTTTTTTTTTACAGAATCAGTATCAGATTTTAAAAATTTAGTTTATTGCAAAGTTGCTTTACACATACAGTACAAGGAATTTGCTTTGGTGTATAATGGTGCATAGATAGACACAGTGAGAGGAATTAAGAACAAAAAGAATGCCCAAAATCTAACTATTATACAAATTATATTTAACAAAAAATATATAAATTGGAAAAAATTAAATATATAAAAAACTAAATACAATAAAACTATGAAAAATGAAAACAAATAATATATGTACAGTATAGCAGAAATGATAGCAGATAGCTGTCGAGTTTAGCGTTTTACAGAAATGGGCTGAAATATAGAAGACGTGTGACGATGTGCAGGGTTCACATGGAAATGTAGCGCTGAGCTAAAGGCTAACTGCATCATCCGAATAATGACACACTCGCTGTGTCTCTTTCACTGCTGCTCATTGTTTTCATGCAGTCTGCTTCTTTCTTTTATCTCTGTTTAGTCTGCCTCGTCCCTCTCTGATTATCCCTTTTTTTCACACTCACACACCCCCCTCTCTCACCCCCACCTCTCCCTTCCGCTCTCTCCCTCTTTATGTCCGCCACCTCGCTCTGGCATATTTTGACGGGATTGTGCACTGCTACAGTATATAGGTCAGAGAGGAGATTTGGCCCAGACTACCAACATCATGACACCACTGCTTTTACCCCCCCCCCCACACACACTCACATACACTGTGTGTCCATGTTGTCCCTTTGCCCAGTGCCAGCCCAGATTATGAAGATAAATGTTTGCTTTGGGAAAAACGGTTTGAAGCAGCTGCTACGCTGCTAATTCAGTTAGCTCGGACCAAGTGCCACCACTGATCACACCAAAGTGACCAAATTCTGCGTGAAAATAATAGTGACCCCTTTCTTGGATGGAACGTATTTTGGTTTGTATAAGAAAAGCTTGACATTACAGTTTTTAGTAGTACATTTTGACTTGTGTAATGTACATTTTTGTATAAAAGAAATTCTTAGTCGACTAACAATTGTTTATGGACTCATTGATTCGTTTTTTAATCGATAGATCTGTATATAAAAAACTTCTTCACAAAGAATCATGCTAAAAACACCCCTTTCAAATCATGCGCATACCAGCGATGTGCTCATAGTTTTCTTGCAAATAGTAATGCAGGAATGGAGTAATCGTGTCGGCCATCCCAAAAGTTAGCATCGCTGTTGTAACATCTACGAAAGTTCATGAGATTTTCCATTCGGTTTTGGATTAGAAAATAAGCTCTCTTACCAACACCAACAAAATGCTGAATCGTTTCCAGATTGAGGACTCATTCCTGCACCACTTCACACATTAATCAACATAAAAAGAACACATTTGTAGTCCAAAGACCAATTTGCCAACCAATCAACTAAGAGTGTGTAGCCCTAAACATTTTGTATCACCAAACACTTCTACGTCTGTAATGCTCCAATGATTGCAAAGTGTTGCTATTGTTCATGTATACAATTGTACATTTTAGATATGGTCAGATTTCCTGTCAATATTCATATTAATAAAGGGCAAGCACACACAATGTATGGAAATCCATCATCACAAACGGAGAGGTCAATGTGTTGTTTGTGCCGTGTTAGTCAATAGCATCATTATAAGGAGCCTGAGCTGAAGCCAGTATGGATTTCACATGGGTAGATGAATACATACACAGAGATCAGGTTCTCGATGAGCTGCAGTGGCCTTGCACTATAAAGCCATACCAACATTAGCCCACTGCTCTAAACCGAATGCTATTGACCGAACAGATATTCCTCCCTGGAGCCGTGTACACGTCAATAAGAAGTGAGCCTAGATTGATTCGTTGGTCAATATGCTTAGGCTACCGGCTAGTAGCTTAGTCCAGGGACCACTTGAGTTCAATTGATGCTTTTTGAGTGTAAACTGTTAGCTAGTGAGCCAATAGCTTCAGGGATTCACTTTTCCCTCTTAAGGCGATGAAAGACCTTGGAATTATTTCACTTTTTATCTTTCTTCTTCTCACTTCTTTCTTCATCTCTGAGTAAAAACAGTTAACCTTCTGTCTTTTGCTATTTGGATCCCCATTTAAATGTATCTCTATGTATAGAAAAGACGACATTCATCTATACTTGAATTTCAGTTATGGGCATTTTAAAGAAGACATATTCTGCTAATTTTCAGGTTCATATTTGTATTTTGATCCTCTACTGTGAACTGTTTCCATGCTTTAATGTTCAAAAAGTCAAATAAATCCCTTCTGGAGGGGACTTTGGGATTTGAGCCCTTGCATTCCTATATAACACACTACAGGAAAGGGAAAACTCAAAGTCATAATAATAGGGTTAAGATATATTATTTAAGGCATCGTCTTGCTTTACCATCTCTTAATAATATCAGACCACCTTGGTGTATGGGCACACTATAAGGACTCTTTGATCTGAAACACGTGTATACAACAGCACACTCAAAAGTAATGAGTCCTACTTTCATCATTGAAGAGGATTGTCAGAGGCTGTGAGAATTTGCAGTTAAAGTGTGAAGTCTCATTGTTTTTTGTCACCACTGTGATTGGGTTTTTTCCAATGCCTCCTTGAGTAAACACATGCACACCACAAAGTCAATACGGCGGCACGAAGATTGAAGAGTGTGAGATGATGACTGACGGTGTGAGAAAGTGTAAATAACACAATGATGGTGTAATGAATTTGAATGATTAGCCAAAGAATTCAAGTGTTCATATTCTGAAGATATTTGGCAATAATGGTTATTGCCAGCTTAGGGGAAATGTTATTTTTATTTTTTAAATAAGCCACATCGAGTATAAAAAAACATACTTTTCTAGATCTGACACATGAAAAACTTTCAGATCAAGAAAATACATTTGTTTAGTTTTTTTGGTACCACTTTTCAATAAGACTACCCTTATAAATTATTCATAAAGGGTTTTATAATTAGGTTTTTAATTAGGTTGTAAACACTTTATTAATCATTAAGAACCATTTATAAACCAGTTCTAACATAGTTTTCATACATTAACACAGGCTCACTATTTGGCAAGATGACTAAGCCTCATATTGGCTACTTAGCGAGAATCAACTCAGTGAACAACAGATACCAAGGATGCTTGCTGATGAAGACGAAGTAAGCTAAGTAGCCAATATAAGACTTAGCAGTGCAGATAAATGTGGGCTCACTATTTGGCAAGCAACCCGGTCAACTGGTTATCTCATGTCTTATAAAAGCTTATTCATGATTTATAAAGTGTTCACAACCTGATTAATACATGAATTACTAACTATTTGAAAACCCTTTATAAGGGTATTATAAAGTGGTACCGTTTTTTTTAAATAATTTGACTTTATTTGTATCAGTTTTTTTAATGACATGTTTTAGGGCTGGTCTTTTTATTTAAGATAAATTAGATGCAACAGAAATGGAACGTTATAATTATTATATTTCGTGATATCAGGATATGAACACGTTTTTTTTTTTTTATTTATAATTATTTTAAGCCAATCTCCAAGCAATGGGTCCACTATAGCATATTTTTTCATACAAAAAAATCTATTCATGAAAACTCAGTCACAATATGTTTTGTAAATGGATGAACGTGAAGCATATGTTCGCACAATGAGTGTAATCATATCTTTGATTATTGATGTATTGACCTCATATTGATCTCTCCCTTGTTTTATAGCTGAGTTGGGGGACTACAGTGAATCGGAGCACACAGCGGGATATCTCTCAGAATTCTGCTTCATGCTCAACCCTCCGCAAGACTTCCACAAAGAGGTCGCCAAACATCACCAGCAGCACAGGTACGTCGAGATACAAAAAAAAACAAGCACAGAACTGATTCCACTGACAAATGCATGTAAAAGAAAACACAAAGGAAGTGAAGCATTGAACCGTGCTTGTGGCAGGAAAATCACTCAGAAATAAATTGGATTCCAGACCTTGAACAGATTACTCTGTGTTCAGATAAAGTGTCTTTTCATCTGGAGTCACTACACAGACATTTGTGGCAGTAAAAGTGATTCATTCTACCATCAATGTACATCATAGGGTTGGGGGATATGACGCTTTATACTGTAACGGTAGGAATGTGCCAAAACAGTAGAGATTTGGCAAAAACAGGATCACCATCGTAGCTATTCTCGCGGTATCTTGTGATCTAGCAGAACTTTGGGGATATGATTCACAGACATTTGCACCAAGTTTATTTCAACACGGTTTTGTCAATTATTAAAATGAAAAACGAGCATATTCTGGAGGCAAAGTCATTTTTTTTAAAAAACGTATTCTGCATAGAGTGTGTGTGAACTTATTTTGCTTAATATTGCAAAAACTTAAGTCAGGCTTTCATTTATTTGTTTAAATTAAACCTGTAACACTTACAATTCTTGCTATTTCATTTTTAGTTTTTAACTCGATCATTGTCCTGTTGAGTTAAAAGAGTAAAATAATACAATTTGAGGAGAAACTGAATGATTATTTGATGTGTTGTGATTGGTCAACCGCTAAGAGATGTCCCGTCCCATTGCCTATCAATACAATGTGTTGGAGTGCTAGCCAATAGAAGCGTGAGTGTCACCTAGTGATGTCACTATTTTACTAGAGTAGACAAAGGAGCACAGGTGTTTCAGTATAGACCACTACCATGATATAAACATCAGATTTTGTCCGTATCCCTTACCCAAAATACATCATATTGAGCCCTGTCTGTTTTGACAGAGAAAAGTAAGAAAACTCACCACCTTACACTAACAGGTGCTCACTAATGACTGGTGTACCACAGTCTATCTGACCTTAACCTGCTGTCCACATTTCTGATTTCTTTTGTTTCTTTTTGTGCCCTTCCCATTCTCCCTCCTTCTCCATATGTCTCTTTGACACCTACTCTCTCTATATCCACCGACCCTGTCATCATCACTCCCTTTGCTCCCACGCACAACCTCTCCCCCCCCCCCCCCCCCCCCCCCCCCCCCCCCCCCCCCCCCATCTGTCTTTGAACCCATCCCTTTCTCCCTCCCCTCTCTCAGCGGTCTATCTCCTGCCCAGTCAGAGTTTAATTATCTGAACACAGCACGCACGCTGGAGCTCTACGGGGTAGAGCTGCACTATGCAAGGGTAAGTAAGGTTTTATTTCCTCACTGATGACACTTGTTTTGGTGCATGTGTTAAAGTCTGCTACATGTGTTTGTTTCTTTCTGTGTTGCTGTTTGAAAGAACTAAAGTGTGTTTTTAATACACATTGATGCACCCTGCAGAAATGCTGCACATTAGGAAGGTAACAGGTCATAGTTCCATCAATCAATAAAAAATGACACATTTGTCCACAAAGAAACCACACAATCAAAGGGGAAAACACGAAAAAGCCTCAGGGGGCCCTCACTCAGAAGAGACAGACGTGAAATAGATGTTATGTGTGTATAAATAAATACAAAATGATTAATATAATATGAAATACATCATAATAATGCTTATATTTATATATTTATTCATATGTTTATTTACATTTTTTATTAATTAAGCTTAAACGCACAATAACACAAGACAAGCAAACTTGCTCCGGATGCTAACAGCTAACGTTACTAGCTGTTCTTCGTATTAAACAGGGATTTATTCTTCACAATGAAGCGTTATCAGGCATCGGACGCTGATAAGGAACTTATTTCAGTCTCCCTATCACATATTTGTACAAAATATCAGCACAAATTTGATAGTGGAATTGTATTTCACAGTGTAATTAATCAGCAGTCCACATGCGTTCCTTACGGTAAGGTTTGGGTGGAGGTGTACGGATCACTTATCAACCATGCTCCGTTACACTTATTTTTTTAATTTCCAAAGTGTAGTTTTCTCTCCTTGTCCAACAGCAACCTGTCTGTGGCAGTGAGGAAGCCTCTGTGTTTCTAGTGTTGTGTACCTGGATTCACTACACACACACACACACTCCTTCTCACACTCTGTTCTCCTCTCTACAGGACCAGAGCAACACAGAGATTCTTCTCGGGGTAATGTCCGCCGGCATTGTCGTTTACAAGAACAGGGTACGGATCAACCTTTTCGCATGGTGAGTGACCCAAACAAACACACACGTCACACACACAACATAAAGTACGCAGATCCAGGTGTGATTTGCTTACATGGCGTTTCCAAGAGAGGTGACTTTCCCAGAGTTGTTGTAAAGTGTTTCGAGGGAGACAGAGTGAGGTTGTTGATGTTGTGAGGCAGAAGTTGTGGGTCGTTAGGGTCAGACACGTGATGATCATATCAGATTTGTCACAGTCCAGTTTTAGAAAGTTGGCTTGCATTAATGATTTTATTTTCAGTGAGGCAGTTGGTCAGGGTGGAGTGAGGTGCAGTGGCGATGGACCAAGAAAACAGATGAAAACACAGAGGGGGAGCGGGTAGAGGATGACAAAGTACTGAAACTTTCCCAGTTTTTTTCTCGTATATTTGTGAGTTTATTATCCTAGATGATATTCAAGATTTATTCTTGTATATTCTTTAAAGTTTTTTTCTTTAATTTGGAAATATAATTTGAAAACATATACACACTTTTTGAACAAGTATGTAACTGAATCAACTAAGTGTGAGAAATGAATGAAGCTTTTGGTCAGAAAACAACAGACCTCAAACGGTTTCAGTGAAGCTACTATTTGCCCAAAAGCAAAAAACCTGCCAGCTATCAACTAAGATAGAGTAGAACTGTGGATAAAACAACTTATTCCATTCATATTTTCATCTTCAAAACCCAGTTACTACTAGAAGTTCCACTGGAACAGTTGCATCTCCCGTCTGCCTTTCTTTCTGGAATTCAAACGTTGATTGTTGACAAGGCTGGAGACCAATGCTGTGTCCCTGAACATACCACCACTTTCCACATGTGGTACACTTTAAACAATTGGCCAGTGTGTGAATTTGTGTTATCTCAAAACGCAGACGGCTGCTGTGCCCTCACAGGAAGTGATGATTGCTGCGGTTAGCTAGCCTGCAAACTGCTAATTTGCTAGCTAGCAGCATTATCTTTTGTGGTGTCAATCATTTCAGAATGCTGTTTTAATCCAATGACATTAACAGTGTCTTCTTTTTCGAAAACAGTATAGTAGTACGTGTATTACATCTAGAAAAAACCCCACATTTTATTTGAATGGTATTGTGCTCTTCCGAACAACTGTTGCTGGTCCCGCCACTTCTGTAACATAGCCAAGATGGCAAATGGTTGACTGTGAGGTGTGTCAAGCGTTCAACTCTTAAAATGTCACCGTTATTGTGGTGCTGCTAGTGCACTGCCTTTTGCCCTGCTTTGAGAACACTCTTTTGCACTCAAAATATTCAGTATAAGTACAGAAGTACTCAAATTGAGACACAGTCGATCACTCCATCATTTCCCCGAGCCACACACCCCTGATCTGGGGAATCAAGCTGGATGTTCTTGTCACAAACCCACCTCTCTGTCTATCTACCCTCTGCCAGCTTCACTTGAACCGCCTCCAGGAACCCTTTTTACTGATAAATGTGCTGCGTAATGTCTCCGCATCATATTAAGCCTTAGTTTATCTTCTCCAGAATTAAGCAGATGATTCCCTCCGATTTTTCTAAGCAGAGGACCTCGAATGAAACAAGGTTTCCTGGAAATATTATAGCAATCACATCTGCTTGCCCTCCTTCTCTCTTTCTGTCCTTTTTTCAATTCTCTCATCACTCTTTATGTCTCTTGCTAGCTCCAAAGCATCGATTCTTGGAAACCTCCCGTCCTCTGCTGCTGCTCTGTGGGAGGCTAAATGTTAATGGGTGCCAGGGGTGGGATAGTAACTACTCAAATCCCTGTAACTCCGGAAGATAATTCACTCGTGTGTAGGCTTAACATATACACCCTAACCAAGCAGCTGCAGTGTGTGTCGACATCAGCGAATGTCTGACAACAGTAAGGTGATGGAATGTGTGCTCGTGTAAGGGGTTTGCATTACTGACATTGTGGGGACCTTTACTGACATTGAGAGTAACAAATTATTAAATATGGTGACTCGCCTCCCATTTTGGGACGTTTTTTGGGGGTTAGGAATTCATGTAAATTGGCGTAAATTGGAGAAAAAATCAGTATAAGCTAGTTTAAGCTAGTTCAAGCGCGTCAGTTGAGCTAAATTTAGAGACCAACAGTGGTGTCCCCAACAGCTGTCCACCACCACGTGTGAGAAATAGAGAGCAACACAATATACAACAGTGTCTCTCAAACCTTGGCGCACTGATTTTTTCCACTCTCCTAAAGGAAGTCTTAGTATTTCTTCTCTCTTATTATAATAGATGGAACTGTAAGATACAGTAAGAAATGGGTCAAGAGTGAGAGACATTCAGATTGTTGCCTCTTTCCTACTCCTGTTCACAGCAGCCTGACAAATGAGCCACACTTAAGATGCCGCATGACTCACACTCTGCCTAAGCATGTGTGCGTGCGTGTGTTTGCCCATGCGAGAGTGTGTGAGTAAGTATGTAAAATATATTTAGCAGGCAGCGATGAGTCACAGCGGCAACAGAGCTCTGGGAAGAGATTATGTTACTCTGCTGCCGCTCGTCAGCAGACCTCTTATTACTGTGTGTGTGTGTGACCCTCTGATTGGAATATTATTTCATTCCTGCCTCTTTAAACGCATGACTAGATACAACATTACATGTCACTTGTTAGATGCTTTTATCCAAAGCGACTTACAACACAGATTGATGAGAAAAGGAGGGCATGGTTGGGATTTTGGGAGACTTCAACATGGTTGTTATCATAGCCTCCAGCTCTGGATGAGTAACAGGTCGGAGGTTGAATGAACAGTTGGGATGTGACACATGGGTCAGCTTACTTGATGAACTGGTGATTCAATGAGGAAGTGTGGGTTGTAGTTCTATTTATTTATTTATTCCTGAGATACGTTTAAACATGCCATTGTGTTTCTATCTACACTGCCTTTTTCTAATTATGTTTACTGTGTAGTACTTGCATTTGGAGGATTGGATATGGTGTATGTCTACATTTAAAATATGTATATACATAAAAGATTGTATAGCCTTTTAAATGTGTTTTCATTTGTAATACTCTTAAAATTTAAAGAGGACACAATTTACTGTGACATGTCTCCATGCTTTAATGTTGGATACCGTTTATTTTTCTCATCCTGCCTGTGCTGCAGCACCTCTTTTCACCCTCTGTCTGAAACCAGAGCCCAGTCTGCTCTGATTGGTCAGCTGGTCGGCTCGGTTGTGATTTTTCAACCACTTAGATATATTTTGACAATAGAAGTGCAGGTGATACATAGTGATGTAACTATGTTACGGAGGTTAAAAAAAGGAGTCCAATGGAGGTGTTTGGGGGGGGGGGGGGTTGTGTGGGAGGGACATTTTGGATTTGAGCCTTAGCACAACATTTTCATGCACACAATCCTCTATATAACACATTACAGGAAAAGGAAATCCTCAAAACGGACGTCTTTAACACAATAGCATTTTTCATATATCATGATCAGTATCAGAAAAACACTTGCTGTCAAACAAAACAAGGGAATCTAGTCTATTCTTACAATATCCATATATTGTTTCTGCATGTTAAGAAACAGTTGACCAATACAGTAAGAGCATTGTAGGGCGGATAATGATTTTTCTTTATTCCAAACTAGCTCCCTTGTTATCCATGAAAAGCTGTACATGGGGCTGTTACTTTGCTGCCAGAAATAGCATCTGTTATACTCAGCCATTACAATGATGGACTTAAATGTTTCACATCATAAAGCTTCAGCGGTGGACTGGGACATGCTGAGAGAGAATGTATAACTTTGTATAATGTATAATTTTAGGCAGTTTGTAAGAAGATGATTTCCCAAAGGGAAGAGAAAGCGCTAACTAGATGTTGAGGACTTAAACATTTACGCAGGAAACATTTGGTTGTGTTGCTATAATGGTTATTGAAATGCCCTCAAACCATTTCTCATGAACAACAATTGTGATACTGTTAATATATTGATTATTACAGATGCTATTATTCCTCTCAAGCATAACAAAATTGTCAGCGTAACATTTAATACAGTTTTGAGGTCATTTTGTTCAATATTGCTACACGGTGTAGTATTTGGGCAAACCCACTACTTATTTTTCTGAGTACAATGACTGACCTTTACAAACAAAAGTGTAGAAATGTAACATCAGTTTGTCAATATGATGATAAGCTCATTAACTGCCGAGTGTCCTCATTTCTCTTCTGTATTGTTTTTGTCTTTTTCTGCTTGCAGGTTGAAAATAGTGAAAATCTCTTTCAAGTGCAAACAGTTCTTCATCCAGCTAAGAAGAGAAGCGGTAGGTGTACACACACACACACACACACACACACACACACACACACACACACACACACACACACACACACACACACACACACACACCCCCACCCCCCTTAACCACCACCATTGTGTCTTTTGAACAGATGAAAGAGTTGATCCTGTGTTTCTCCGTACAGCCTGTATAAATGTGTGTGTGTGTGTATATGCTGTAGATAGCTTAGCTGTGTCTGCATATATGTGTGTGTTATCAGTGTCAGATTAACCCCCTGCTGTCTGTGTCCTGGTTCACCCTCTATAATCACCCTCTCTGTCCTGCATCCCTTGTTTAACATGTGGATCTGTTTTTTATTCACAATTTAATAAACCATTTTGACATGCTCTGTCAACTCGCTGAATATTTTTTACCTTGCTTTTTTGCAGTTATATTTTGAAGCCTCTTTGATGTAAAAAAACGAGTTCTTGAATTTCCATTTCTCCCCCCCTTTCTTGTTTCGTCTTCCTCCCTGAATGCATCTTAAGAGCTGCGCTGTCCTTGAACATACAGTGTATTTACTGAATATATTTGTGTCTGAATACTCAACCGACTTTCGCCTGTTACTTTACTAAATGGCATAAACGTCATCCCTATTTGTTCCAAATTCTGTGTTTCCCGAACAGAGGAACTTGTACCGGTGTCTAGAGCTGCCAGGGTTAAAGGAAACACAGAAGAGTAATGTTAGCTCAACAGATTATAAAGTTAGAAACAACGATTTAATACAAAAAGGCTTTCCTCATATTCATATTCAAGTCAGCTTTACCACCTGAACACCACGAATCTGTCAAAAAAGAGAACACAGGGAAGAAAAAACTATAGCTAAGGTAAGGGTTAAACTGTCAAAACCATTAGCCCCCCAAAGAACTGCTTAAAGAAAAAAGAAAAAAATAGAAAAGGTTAGCTTAAACCGTAGACATATTTAGCCAAAACATTTGTCTAAAAAGGAGAAATATTCAGCTAAAATAATTGACTTAACTTTTGAAATAATTAGCTTAAAGTTAAACATTGTACGAAGTTATCTAAAATAATTGGATTTGTAATAGTAGTAGTAAGCTAGCAGAACCCGACAAATTGTCTAAATAGTTAGTTTAAGTAATTGATGAAAAAGTAAAAAAACAGTTAGCCAGAATGAATGGAGAGACAGTTAAAACAGTTGGTTAAGCCTAAACAACTATAATCAGTAGATACAGCCGTTAAAAATGAATAGAAATACAGTTTAAACAGTTAGCCACACACTGCCTGTCTCTACTACATGTATGTATCTTTTCTTGCATTACAGATACATGCAGGTCACCCACTCTCACCTCTCATGCTGAATACCAAAGGGTTATCCAACAGCCCTCTAATGTTCTCTTCCCCTCCCTGCACACAGACGGAGACCCGGGAAACGCTGCTGGGTTTCAACATGGTGAACTACCGGGCCTGTAAAAACTTGTGGAAGTCTTGTGTGGAGCACCACACCTTCTTCAGGCTGGATCGACCCATCCCGCCACAGAAGAACTTCTTCTCTCACTACTTCACTCTGGGCTCTAAGTTCAGATACTGGTAAGAAATATAAGACACATTCACTCTTCAAGAGGAATGTGGAGATAATCCACAGAGGATTTCTGAAGAGTCTTCCTGGGACAGCCAGACTTTGACAGCCTGACATGTACACACACTTGATCAGACACACATAAATGGAGCAGACATGTAGTTGATTTGTCTGTTTTTCCTTCAGTCGGTCTCTCAACAAGAGAATCACTCCAGGGAAACATGAACAGAAATCGTGTTTGTTTGGAAGTTGATGCAGTTGTTTCACTCTGGGTTGAGCGGCTGAAACAATAGAAGAGCTAACGGTTGCCTCTCATTCTATTTTCTCCTAGAAAACCACCACTTAATTATTCATTGTGTCCATGTGAAAGTCACTTCAAAGTCCCACACCACTGTTGCCACTCCTTTTTTTTTTTTTTTACTAATAAACCCCTTCACCTTGATTATATAATGTACATTTTGAGGATTTTAAAGTTGAGAAAGAAAAATACAAATAAAATGGCTTTTCCAAACCTTTGACTCAGTACTGCATTATAACAACTTAGTTTTACTTCATTGATAGCTTTATTTATTTCCCCTTTCTATGAAGTATGAGGGAGATATGAACTGAGAGATGGAGGGGTTGTGATGAATTATTGAGCAGCAGTGGTGTGTGTGTGTGTGTGTGTGTGTGTGTGTGTGTGTGTGTGTGTGTGTGTGTGTGTGTGTGTGTGTGTGTGTGATGGTGACTGACTGAATGGATGTTGTTTATTAACAGTGAATCATAGGATATAATATCCATATTGTTCTTGTTATGGGCTTGCGAACTGTGGTTTCTGTTAATTTTTCATTTTTCTTTGGCTTTAGAAATCAGTTTCTGTTTTAAACCTAAGAGTTAAATATGTTCTGCCTGGCTCACTCTGGTTAAAGTTTGATTTTCCAAGAAAGTCCACTGATGTGTGTTTATTTTTCTTGTTTTTTTTCTCCAGCGGACGGACGGAGGTGCAGTCTGTGCAGTATGGAAAGGAGAAAGGCATCAAGGACAGAGTGTTTGCAAGGTAATCCGGAATGTTTCACTCTCGCCATCACAAAGCAATAACGGTAGACGGGTGTTATAACTATTGTTTTTAATTCAGCTCAAATCAAATTATAGTCTTGTTCTGCGCAGATCTCCCAGCAAGCCATTAGCCAGGAAGTTGCTGGGCGGGACTGACTGGGAGTCGGTCAGCAGGAACAGCCTATCAGACGAGAGACTGGAGACACAGAGCCTGCCCACCCGATCGCCGCCCGGGACGCCCAATCAGTGAGTCCGAGTTTTAAGTCTACCGTCACTTAAGGTTAACATTAGACAACTTTAGAAGAACACATTTAAATAAGCATTTTCAACATGGTGAGGAACATATGAAAATAAGCATTCTTTTTACACTTACTGAGCTCATTTAAAATGAGTATTCACATTTAGTTTTAGAGCATGTGTCTGTAAAAAACTAATATTGTCATTATTAATTCCATGTAGTCATCTGTGCTGTAATTTTGAAAGAGCTGCCTCTTTTTGATTAGTGGGAAAACCTTTTTTTTTTTAACTCTGTAAGGTTGGGATGTAGAACAAAAATGTAATCTCTAATTCTGAATAATTTTTGGAATAAAAATGTAATCTCTAATTTGTTCCAACTAAATCCGATTTCAGATTTTGATCATTTGAAAATCCGATAAATAATTCAAATAAGTAATTTTTTATAACAAAAAAAATCAGTAAAAACTATAATAAATTCCCTTATAGAGAGTAACAAGGTTCATTATATTAAAAACTTAAAAGAGGTGCTTTGAATGTATTTCACATTTTTATGTACACGTTTTTCGGCTACTCTCTCTGACTTGAGGCATGCCCTGTGGCAGGTTTTTAATCATATTTCTAAACCATAACTTTGAATTCATTCAGAAAATGAGTTTATCGCTCAGCTTTAGACTGTATTAGCAATCATTTATACTGTATAAGTGTCCTTAAGCAAGTTCTGAAGCCGAACCCTGTTCCGACTTTCAACTTTGCAAAAAATTGCAATAATTCATTGTATTCCTGGTCCAATCTTGCATCAAGTATCATTTAATTTGTTTAGATTGTAGACTTCAAAAAAGAAAAAATTGAAGTTAGCCTTACAAGAATGATATCTACAATTGTAATTCAAGTATGATTTACATGAAATTATGTGTGTTGGATATTAAATTCAGCACATTAAAAACATTTGAGGTTGTATCATCAGCCCTCTAACATCACTGTCTTTGAACGTGTGTTTGTCAGGAACTCGATGTTTGTACAAGAGGGAACGCGACTACGCCCGTCGTCCGTTGGCCACCTGGTCGATCATGTGATCCACGCCTCACCCAGCCTACCTGTCTTCTCCTCGTCCAATCACAAGTCAGCATCGTCCACGCAGGCAAACAGCATCAGCTTGGACTCAACACCGTAAGTCTCTGTCAGGGGACAAAGGGTTCTTTTTTTCACATGCTTCCTTTCTTCTTTTTCATGCACCCACATCCCCCCATATTTTCTTTAAAGCTCTTTGTCTTAAGGAGAAAATAAAACAACAACCGCTGACTTGGTAGCATGGAAGTAATAGAACTGTAATTGAACTGCCTCATGAATTAAACAGCCACCATTTAATTCTGAACTTTAATTTTACCCATCAGTGTCAGTGCCACTCTGTCTGACTGTTCCGCTGAGTCGGCTGCTTTTTAAATGTCTGTGTGTGCCTGTGGCTTCTCCCGACGGTTCACACCCTCTCCCAGTGTCACTTAGCCGGTCCCATTGAAAGATGAAGCCTTTGAAAAACAGCCTGTAAAATGTGTTTATGGCTGGTACTGTAGCAGGGCGGAGAGGTTATACAACAGGGCTGAACTCGGAATTAGTTTGTGTGTGACTGTGTGACTGTGACTGTGTCTGTGTATGTGTTTGAGTTTTTGATCTAATAAAGTTCAACATTTCAGTTTTAAAGCCTGAAAGCCGATGGGTAAGTAGAGTGAGTTGTGAGCGACTTTTAAAACTCTACAAAATTTAAAATGTAGCTAAAAATCACATTACATTTAAAATATAATAATAACAATACATTGGATTTTTATAGCGCTTTTATAGTGCTTTTCCTAATGCTAAGGGTGACTTTCAATATCTGTACAGGGACATCAGATGAAAATAGCCTGTTGGGTAACTCGCCCATTTACAGAAATGTTTATTAATGTGCACTGTCACATTCGATAAACAAATAAACAAGTTATTTAAAAAAACGGCGTATAATACAAAAAAGAGGTCACGCTCCGAGCAAGCAAGGTGCTAAAGCTTACATGATAATTACCTTGCCGACTTATCATTTTATTTTCTCGGCCGGAGACCCTACCTTGTTTATTGTTCTGGTACACTGGTGTTATTTTGTTTTTGGTGTTATGACTAGGATATTAAAAACATTCTTTACATCACAGTATCTGAAAATTCCTAAGTCTTTTTATTTGTATTGAATAAAAATGTTAATTGAAGGAATTGCTCTTTGCAAGGGTGTACTTGCATTATATAGCTATTATATCGTAATCACATCAGTAACTTTGAATGGCCTAATAAGACGAGAATATAATTTATCACAATTATTTATAATGTATTACATCCAAACAAAGGAGTGCCAATGGTTGACATCTAGTCTGCGGATCTAAGATAAATAATGAATGGCTGGTTTGTCAAATGTGTTGTTTTGGATAGGAAAACATTAAGACACTTAATATATGCCTGACATATCATGTTATAATATTTGATTGTCAAGCAGCCATATTTTGTTATATTGATCTGGAAATGAGCCGTTGATGTAATTTGCATGTTTGAATGATTTGAATGAGGCAAAAGGTGCATTGTAAATACAGCATGCTCTTGTTGCTACGACAGTAGGAGTGTGTGTGTGTGTGTGTGTGTGTGTGTGTGTGTGTGTGTGAGAGTGTGAATGGAGAGGGAAGATGGAACATTTCTCAGTTGGAGATCAGAGTGGTTAAGTAACATTATCGTGGTAGTTCCGCTGCCTACAAAGCTAAACACACACACACACATACACACACACATACACACATACACACACACACATACACACATACACACACACACACACACACACACACACACACACACACACACACACACACACACACACACACACACACACACACATACACACAGCAAGTGTTGGCTCATCACTGACGGAGCCAAAAGATGACATAATCACCTGCGCTCTCTTCCTCGTGCACGTTATACATGCCTATTCATATTTTGGCTTCATGACATTTGTCCAATCACAATAGCCAATACCGTTTTTAACCCCCACATAACATAGGTGCTAGTTCAAGTTGATTGGATCAAAACTGTAGGAGTTTGTTGAAATACAGCGTGTGTAATGTGCAACAATTGGTCAAATATTGCACTTAAAAATCAAAATGGCCAACTTCCTGTTGGGTTTACGTCACGCCGCCAAAAAGCTTTTTTGTGCTTCTCGCCATGCTACATAAGCCTATCAAATTTCAGATTTGTATTTGAAACGTGAGCGAGGGGCTGCCTTTAAGTCACTTGGGGGGGGGGCGCTAAAGAGCTTGTTTGCAGACAACCGAGAACAAAACCCCTAAAATATAAAACTTTTGTTAAACGTTTAGGCCTTCGAGACTTTGTAGGTGCCCTAACAAATGTATGATATCTAATGCCCACCTTTTCCCTGAAAGATTAGTCATTTTTTTACTTTGCATCCCTACTCTTAAATATACATATACAACGACCTTTAATCTTCTATTTAAGACGACATGACTCAAAACATATTGCAATATTTTATCGTCTGTCACTCTCAGACCCCATAATCCAAATTTCCCCAAAGTTCCTCCCAAGATTTTCCTCCAATAAAAACCAAATTAGAATCTGTTTCTGTCCCACAGGCCACAGTTAGACGCTGTGTCAGTTCCACACATGAGCAATAATACAACAAAGCCATAACCCTCAGACACTCTTCTCTATAATGTTCTGTTTTTAGTTGTGTAAATGATCAGTTTAGCTAACCGCGCCACATTACAGTGACGCTTTTCAAAATGCGGCGTCTATATTTTCTTGACAGTGTTGGGGATCAAAAAGGCACAGTTACATAATGTGCTGTGACCTATGGCTGTGACACAACAGGGCTACAGCAGTATGGTATATGTCTTGATAAATTACATTGTATGCTTAAAACAGACATGTTTCTTCAAGGTTGTCAAGCAAAGGAAAAACAGTTTTGGGTGTGCACTGAAAGTGTTTTTAATTACATCTTTTGGTGGTTTTGAATGCATCATGGTGCTTTATTATAGGGTCAAAAAAGTGTTGGACATTTTCTTAACAAACATATTTGAACGTTGCATTTATATACAACCTTTCGAACCTGAGTTTGCAAACCGCTTTCGTGCATGAACCTCTCTGCATTTGGGTGTTGGTTTTTTCGAGACTCCTCTGACGCTCATTCCACAAATGCATTATTTTTCAGCGGAGACCTTTCAGTAGCCAATCAGGTTGCTCCTTAATTTCCCACACGTTCCCACAAGGGTTTGATTTAAAGGAACCATATTAATTAAAAGTGCTTTATTTTTCTCATACTGCCTGTACTGCAGCACCTCTTTTCACCCTCTGTCTGAAACAAGAGCCCAGTCTGCTCTGATTGGTTTGCTAGTCGGCTCTGTTGTGATTGGTCAACCGTTTAGATATGTCCCACCCCTCAACCTTTATTTTTTACATATATGGATTTTCTTTTGCATTTCAAAAATGTGTTAAAGAGATATTTATATATAAACACATTCTCGTTCTTGAATCCTTCTGTGTGCATTCATTTATTTTGAGAATGATCTGACCTCATACTTCATAGCAGCTTGTTTTTAGATCTTCTCATGTACCCACGATCTTGTGTCACTGTCTCATTTAGTTCCATCAGGCTTTCAAAAATGTTCCTTAAGGAAAAGAAGACATTTAGGATCAAAGCATTTGACGGACAGAAAACTAAAAAGCAAGTTTTAGTCATGTCCGCTGTCGACAAAGGTTAAGTCTCCTTATCCCAGGGCTTTGGCTATGTTGTGGTGTGGTACGAAGACACGTTCATATCCATTTCACTGGTGTGTGTCGTGTTGAGGAATCACAGTAATGCAGGGGGATGTTGGGTGTGGGCTCGGGCCTGCTGTGCTCTGCCCTCCTTCTGAAGGCCTGACCTGCGTCTGACCCATAATACATGTTAGATTCCATGTGTGTGTTTCAAACACAAAGTGGCACCAGTAGCCCAAGCCAAAACAAAGGCAATGCGCTTTGACTGGTGCTCTCGCCCCCAAAGGAGTGCCTACACACACACATACACACACACACGCACGCACGCACACGCACGCACACACACACGCACTTTTACCCCCCAGAGAGCGCCCCACGATGTCGCTGAAAGCCTTACCTGACTGTCTTGTGTTGTTTCGTCGTACACACTGACTGCCTTTTATTGTATGTATTATGGAGGGGGGGGGGGTGTTTTCCTTCTTCTCGCAGCCCTTTTATTGAGGTTAATGCATTGTGACTAACACAGCGCTATTAAGCCTTTCTGTCTCTTGCAATCTCTTTCTCTCTCACTCCCCTTTATCTGTTTTTCACTATTTGTCTCTTTTTTCTTTTTCAATCAACAATCTTCAGTTGAACCTTGATTTCCTTTCTCCCCTTTTCTATGGTTGCATATTTGTTCTTTTTAGTTTCCCGCCCTGTTTTACAATTTCAGGCCGTTAAACTTTTTCCATCAGCATTTTTTCTGCCAGACAGCAAGTTGTGAACATTTATTTTTTAACTTGAATAAAAGGATGAACGATATGGATTTTTAGCAAATGGTGACCACTTATAATAACCTGCGACTGTTACAAAAACATCAATTGACATTTTTGTATTTTGACAAGAACTTTACAACCTATAGTTTATGCAAAACTGAAGATAATAAAGGCAAAGATATTGGAAGCAATAATAAATATTTCAGATTACATTATTCTTACGTTTTCAAATCTGAAATGTTGTTCTTTTTTTTAGAAACTGTGTGACAAACATCCACACTGTTGACGATTATGTTTGGTTCTCTAGTCAGTGTGCTACTTTTTTTTTTCTTGTTCTCTGTGTTTATTGGCAGATGCCCAACAAACTAAAGGTTTTTACCACCATACTTTATCATAATTTGTAGATTCAAGTCAATGAGAGCAATTTGTCTTCATAATAACAACCTTTTTTTATTGGCACAATTATATACATTTCCCATTAGTGCCTGATCTGTATTGTGCATCCTTGAATTTCTAACAATAGTCATTTTGTTTAACAAGGTACAATTTAATTATCTACAAACGTTATGTAAATGGCCAATATCACCACAGCTGGAACACGAGTTTTCCCAATCAGATTAGACGAATCCTTGCTACATTTAATAAATATAGCCTTTCAACATTTACCTAAATGTAACACTCCCCCCTCTCTTTTCCTCCCTCAGGTCTCCAGACGGGCCCGACGGCCTCCCCCCAGCTCTGCCCCCCAAACAGCTGAGCAGGAAAACCCTGAGCCAGATCATCCAGGCCCACTCCCAGCAGAGCCTCCTGGACAACCACCTCAACGAGATGTACGACGTCCCTGTGAACGCTGACAAGACCACGGTCAGTAAAACTAAACAAGACGGAAACACGTGGTGCTTATTAAAAAAACAAGTCAGAAGGATACCCTTTTAGGCTTGATAATATCATAATAAAATATTCTCTCCAGTATTAATTTTGTATATCGTTGACAGAATGGGTTTCACAAATGTAAACCTCCGTAGATTTCATTAAACTATGCAGTATAATTTTAATTAATTTTAATGACCACTTTTCAAAATAAGAGGTTCTTTTTGATTCATCTGTTTGTTTTGGTGTATTTTTCTGGACCCCTAGTGGCCAAAAATATTTATTTGCCGCTGTAAATCTTATTGAATGAAGTTAAAACCTTTGAACCAACATGATCATCCAATAAATGTTGCCTAGCGTTAGCGCCAGAGCCAATTTGCCTCATAGGGGAATGGTATGACAGACTGCAGTATGTGTATTTGATGCATCTGTGTCCAAAATGTCTCTTGCAGCTAAATGGAGTAGTCCCCCATGATAATCTGGTCCTGATCAAGATGAAGCCTGACGAACACGGACGTTTTGGCTTCAATGTCAAGGTAAGCGCTGACACTAATTGAGACACAACGGCCCTTTTGTCTTTGTTGTTCCATGGCTCATCTCATCATCTCTCTCTTTGGTTTTCCCTCTTGTTTATGCCAAGTGATGAGAAACCTTGGCTAAAATGATCAGACGTGACTAATACCTAATCCTTGCCTAAACTGCTAACTCTGCTCTGGAAACAGAAGACGCATGTCATGCTTTGTGCTGTTAGCTGATCTACTTGTGTGTCTCCAGGGGGGGTTTGACCAGAAGATGCCCATCATTGTGTCTCGAGTGGCTCCGGGAACTTCAGTAAGTCCATATCAATAATATAAAGATGACATGACATGAGTCTAGATTATGCCATATCCTTGTCTTTCACTGTTGTGTTGAGAGGTTGCATTAAGTAAAGCGATGTTATTTTATTTATTTTTAAATGTGAATATAAGAATAAGGTCAAAAATCTCATTGTGTAAATGTTTAATAGAAGCAGCAATAGTCAAGCCTACAAAAAAGTATCGATATCTCAGTATTTGGTCAAAAATATTAGGATATTTGATCGATACATATAAAGTATGTTGGGCTGTATGCATATATAGTTGATAATATATTTCTTTCACTTGTGCTGAGTTTATGAATGTAATAAGACAAATGCAGCTTTACAAACAGCTACTACTTTAGCATTATGTATGACACTCTATTCTGTATGAGAATCATTTAATCCAACTGAACACACATTACTAACGATGGCATCTCACCCTTCTCATTGTCTCTCTTTTTGTCTTTTCTTCCCTTCTTCGCTCTCCCTTTGACCTTTGCCCTCCTCCCCCCCCCCTCCTCCCCCCCCCCCTCCCTCCCCCCCCTCCCCCACCTCAGGCTGACCTGTGTGTGCCTCGCCTTAACGAGGGCGACCAGGTGGTCCTAATTAATGGCCGGGACATCTCGGACCACACCCACGACCAGGTGGTCATGTTCATCAAAGCCAGCTGCGAGAGCCACTCTGGAGAGCTCATCCTATTGGTCAGGCCCAACGGTGAGTTCTTCCCATTGGCAGTGGAATACAACAGTGTAATGCCAGAGTGATGACACAATCTAAAAAAAACGAGTTTTGTTGTTGTATTGGATTGTAAGATATTACTTTTCATTTAGCAACCTTCTGTATATTTAAGATTTCAAAATACTTCAATAACCTTTTCATTAAGATAATACGTTTATAACCGTAAGAGACTAGCCCCCCTTTTTTTTTTACATTCCCCATATTTACTTTCTTTTCCTACATTAATCAGAGAGTTATTTGAATAATTTGTTTTTATTTTCCCTTTTGCTGGTTGTGCCTTTTTGTATGTTTTATTCATCTTTTCATTGTTGTTGTTTTTTCCGATTGGTGTTGTTCTTTGCTGATCTAAAAAAGAATAATGATGGTATCAGATGGGTGACTCAGCACAAGCGTCACCCATTCACTACTCAACCCACTATTCTTAAAACTTTTAGCCAGGCCTATTTCACACCTACATGGACATTATTGGAAACTATTTTTCTTCTCCTTCTTTCTAACACTATTATAAAAGAAAAAACAACTTTCCAAACTAAAACTTCTGCCATCTAAATCTAGCAGTAACTGGGTGCAAACATGTTGTAACCGCTAATCTCCCTAAGAAGTACTTTGTGTGTTGCAACCCATTTTAATACAGTGCTGCATTCATCTCAACTTTTTAACAATTAAAGGGGATTTTTGGAGTTTTTCCCTTTCCTGTAGTGTGTTATAGTTTTTGTGGCTCTAAATTATACGAATAAGAAACCTGAAATGAGCATAATAGGGCCCTTTAGTGAGAACTAGGCAACGTGTAACTCACAGACACCTGGTGCAACACACTCCTGAAGATTAACAGCTCCACATCTGCTCACCAGTTGTCACTCTTCTTCTGCTCTTCTCTGGAACACTTAATACTGCATCTCTCTGGTCATTTAAAGGAGTTAAAACTCTACATTTAGCTTTCTCAGCTATATGTATGCAGTGTGTAGGGAGATGGAAATCGTTTTTTCTTTAATCTGCATCAGCGATGTGGGAGGGGAGCTTTTAAAAAATGATGAAACATAAATATTCTTGGTATTTTAACTGGGTCAAATGGGGATTTATGGATTCAAACTGTCTTACATCAGAGTAGATATAAGATTGCATCAATGTATTGAATTCCTGACTGTTCACATTATATCATTTGATCAGTTTTTTACTTTTATTTAGTACATACGGTTTTTGCAATTCAATTCACTGTATATCCCTACGGTGCAGTATTTAGGTTGTGTGGCTTTTCTACATGATGTACTTAAAGGTAAATCGCCTCCCCCGAGCCCCAACCTACATAAACAGCTGTGTCTTTATAAACCCTAATATATTTATTCTCTGTTTGTTTCAGCCATCTATGACGTGGTGGAGGAGAAGGCGGACTCGGAGCCAGATTTTCAGTATATCCCTGAGAAGTCCCCTCAGGACCCCGCCCAGCTAGACCAGCATGCTTTGAGGGACTCCATGGTCACACTGAAGGACGGCCTGATCAGTGGAGCCATACTGGCACAGTTCGATGTGAGGACAAAGACATGGCAATAAACACACGAGTGGATACTGTGTATATACTGTATATATGGTGCCGTATTAGGGCCATTGTAGGGCAAAAAGTTATAATAAAAAGCTGAGGAAGGACAGTAATAGCTTGTGAGATTAAAATGTACCATAAAAAAACGGTGAATTTATAATTACAACTCCGATTTTCTCAGTTTTTATAAAGTCATACATTTGCAACAAAACAAATATAATTTATCTGAGATTTTAGGGATATATTAATATGGAAAATCTTGTGAAAATAGGGTTTAACTCCTCCAAATCAGTAGGTTATTTTCTTATGAAAAGACTGAATGTACAGCTATGTCTGTTACAATTCCAAATGTTATGATAGTATGGTAATTTCTCAAGTATTTCCTTATTGCTGAATCCAATTGGAAATTATATTTTCAATAGGTCAACCTCTGCATCCAATTCTTTCTCATTTATTTGTAATGTTCTGCATTTTCATGAAAATCAGATGTTCTTGTTCTTGTGGAATTGTTTTTGATTGTTTAATGTTTGTTTTGTTTTTGAGCAATTGTGACACATTTATTTTTCTCCTTCACATTCCCGTCACTTCCTGTCCTTCATCCTAATCAGTGATACGACTTCCTGTTCTCTGAACAACGTGTTAGATGCAAACACATGCACATAAACTAACCCATTGCAGGAAAGCACTCCCAAAACACTTGGAGAAGTTTGTGCGTATTGATTACAGGGCAAACTGATTTTCCTCCAGTTATTGTACCTTGAATATTGTTCCTTTTCTTACAGCAACTGTACAGGAAGAGGCCGGGGATGACCATGCTGTGTGCCAAATTACCTCAGAACGTTTCCAAAAATCGCTACAGAGATATCTCTCCTTGTACGTAGCTGCACTGTTTTCTTCTTTCTTTAAATATGTACAGATGTTTCTTCCATGATACTCTTTCTTTCTTTTTTCCTTGTCAGCAGTTTGTTGTCTCTCTGTCTGTAATCTCACCCCTCTCTCTTGTCTTTCCCTCCGCAGATGATGCCACACGAGTCATTCTGAAAAGCACAGATGACTACATCAATGCAAATTACATCAATGTGAGTCTGTTCCTCCTCATGTTTTTCTCTCCCAACAATACCTCAGTGTTTTCTGGCCGTTTGAGGCTTTTTGGGTGGTCTGTTTTTGCTAACCCTCAAAACACATGTTTAAACACTACGGGTCTCCGTACTGGTGAATGAATCAACCACAAGTGGAAAGCATTGTGACTTAATGTTTTGCATGTTTTCGAGTCGGCCAATATAGCTATCATCAGCTTATGGGTGCTATTATTTTAAGCCCCTTTCAGACATCTGTTTAAGTAATGCCTTTTTTTAAGTGAAAATAAGCTATTTGTTACACAAATCTCTTGTAATGGCTATATTGAACATGTTAGGACCTTTTTATTAATAGAGTTGTATTGTAAAACAGCAGAGAGTAAGAACAAAATGATGTAATAACGGAAGAAATGTATTGTCAGTTTTCCCAGAGGCTGTATAAAACATGGATTTCAACAACATTTTGATTGTTTATCTCTATAGCCTAATTAAGGCTCATTGTGATTATGAAGGACACTCGCCCCCGCCTCTCACTCGTCTAATAAACCCTTTACTTTACATTTTCTCATCAATGTCATCATTTATTAGACAGAACACATCCTGCTGCCTACTGTAAATCAAACGGTACCCAAGCATAGTTTAAAATTACAAGAAATTCATGTTTTACTCTCATTTAATTTCCATTTTCTTAGTATGGCAAGTGTTTGAGTATTCATGCTATTTGTTCGAACTTGTGTTTTCTGTAACACTGCATTCAATAATTGAAAAACTGTTACAGGGTCAAAAACGTTGCTATCCAGCATTTTAATAGCTCAGTAAAGCTCAAAAACCTTTTTTGGCCATGCATACTGAAAGCTCAATTAGGACCATCTTACTTATATTTAATAATGAAATGTAGCACTTTATAACAGAAAAATAACAAATAAAAGCATAACCTCAGCATATCAGTATATACATAACTATGCAGAAATGGTGCAATAAAGTTTATATGAAATTCAACGCCTATGTAATCAGTTAAATCAACATAAATATTTGTTATCAAATATATGTTTGTGTAGCTCTTAGGTGGATGTGTTCTGCTTTTTTGGGACATATTGTGTAGTAGAAAGTAACCTAGAAATTATACATGATGATAATCACCGTGTCAATTTATTTTCTATGTCTACCAGGAATTTAGATTTTATGGGAATTGTAGAGCAGCTTAAAAAGTTGCACTTTTGTTGGCTAAAGTTGAAGTGGTTTTAGAGTAACCTGAGAACATTTTGCTCTTTACAAGGCTAAAAATACACAAAGCACATCCACATCATTTAGAAAGAGAAGATGTTAAAGTGAGACTTGGTCCACCTAATATCTGTGTTCTGTATTTCTGTGTTTTTCTCTCTGTAGATGGAGATTCCAGCCTCAAGTCTTATAAACCGCTACATAGCGTGCCAGGGCCCGCTGCCCAACACCTGCCCTGACTTCTGGCAGATGACGTGGGAGCAGGGCTCGTCCATGGTGGTCATGCTGACTACACAGGTCGAGAGAGGACGGGTACGTAGGAAAGAAATCTTCAAAGACCTTCAAAACACATATGGACTGCAGCATGTTGAGAGAAATATATTTTTGCTGTCAGTAAATTCATCAGAAAAAGAATATTCAGAATTGATAGCTGTACATGTGGCATTGCTGGCCACAACCATACAATAAAGCCCGGTCTGCTCCGATTGGTTAGCTGGCCGGCTTGTTGTGATTGGTCAACCGCTTAGATATGTCCAGCCCCTTAGCCTATCACGTACAATGTGTCGCAGTGCTGGCCAATAGATGCTTGGGTGTTTCATAGTGATGTCACCAATGGAGGCATTTCAGGCAGGGGGGGGATTTTAGCCTTTGCAGACCATTTACATGCACTAAAACCTATATTTCACACTACAGGAAAGGGGAACCCCAAAAAGCATAATAGGGCCCCTTTAATCATCAAAGCGGGTAGAAATGTTCAAATATACATTGCTTGCTAATTTCTCTTGACATAAGAAAGAAGTGTTTAGTCCCAAGGGGAAATATTTTGGCTGCAAATAAAAAATAAATCATACTTTTTATATGCCTCTGAAAGTTTTTAATAATTCCAGGTCACTGAGTGTATGTAATGCTATATTTGTGTGAATTAAAGACCAGATAATAGTGGGTATTCTTATTCTGTAGCCTTGACATGTTGTTCCTGGACAGCTGTGTCCAAGTAAATGGTCAGTTAACAGATAAACTTTGTCTGTGTTTTAAAGGTAAAGTGTCACCAGTACTGGCCCAATCCAGACTGCAGCGCCATCTACGGAGACTTTTCAGTAACTTGCCACAACGAAGAGGGCAACTCTGCCTTCCTGGTCCGGGAGATGACTCTGGAACACATACAGGTACACACAAACTCAAAAGAGAAAAAAAAAAAACCAGACAGGAAAGGTAAATTAGCTTTGAATCAGAGGAACAAGCGAAAGAAGCAGAGCAGGGGAAAGAGGAGGGTGAAGGCGTCACAGAGGGAGGTGCAGCATCCAATCAGAGCGCAGCACCAGCATCTCAGTAAGGATGAGCCGCCGTGGACCCAGAGGAGGTGTGTTGCCATAGTGACCAGTGTGGGCTGTTCTTTTTCTGGCTCACGCTGCAGTATGCGGGACACGTATTGGGAACTGGTTACCATGACAACCCCAACCGCCCCAGTCAGTCACATTGCTGAAATAGGAAGAGAAAAAAAATGGAAAAGAGGAACAGAGAGTGGGACGATGGTTGTTTGGAAAACATAAATAGATAAAATGTGTGTTTCTCTTACTTTAAAGTTGAAGCCTTTTGATGCACACAGCGTTACTCATCTGTCATTTGGACTTTTTGGTTTCATCTTCTGAAGTTAAGGCTGTTATTTGTTTTCTGTTGAACAATGGGGCAGTGTTCTCGTGTTATGGGTTATACTGTATGTTATATATCGTATACCATGCAAAGATTTAGGACAAAATCAAATCTAAAATAACTTTTATTTCTCCCCCCTAAAGAATTGAAACGAAAAGTCAACAAAATCAACTAAGTGAATTTTATATTGACACTTTAGTAATAATAAATAAGACAAAAAGAAAGTGAAGAAATAAGTCTTGAGTTCAAATAAAGGTCCCTTTACCTTTTGTATTTTATTGTTTTTGTCCTTCAGCCACTAAGCTTGGGGCAAGGGGTGCTGCATTCAAATTAACTTTTTAATGCCGGAATGTTCCTCGTCGTTTCCTTAGGTCTGTGCTCTACTGATAACTTCCCCGTGTGTCGCCTATGTATGGTGACCTTTTGAAATATATGGCTGTTATAGGAGGCAATTAGCATTCTCCTCTGCCTGTGATTGTTGCTATGGAGATAGATGTGTTACCATGGCGATGCAGCAAGGCAATATTAAAGAAAAACACGGGGGCTCTGAGTCGCACATCAAACCGCTTTCAGTAGTTATCTGCTGTGTGTTTCTTTGTGTACATGTGTATGTTTGTTTTGCTATACTTGTGGGACCCAAGTGTTGAGATCAACCAATTCTGTGAGGACATTTATGTGTATGTGTACCTGTGTGTATGTATGTGTGTGTGAGTGTGTCGTCCCTGTTAGGGAAAAGAAAAGAAAAGTCAGCGCGATTTAAACCCGAGTGCATATTTCCTTGCTACAGTTTTCCTTTCCCTTTTTAATTGAACAAAAAAGAGAAAGCTTGACATACACATTTGTTTGATTTCAGCAACATAAAATGTACGTTGTGTAGTACAGTTGCAGAGGTTTTGTCCTCAGTATCTGATGTTTAATGGGAAAGAACAACGTGAATCATGAAGTGGCCCGGCGGAGCGGAAGAAATAAACCCACTGTTTGTTATTCACACTGCCCGTTTCATAACGCGTTTAAAGGCCATAATTACACAAACAGGGTGCTGTGCAGTATCCCCCCAGGACACAGAGCTCAATGAGAGAAGCTCGGAGGTCGCCCACATGAAATACAATAACCTGTTTTGGGCTCTGAGGATGGGCGATATCTGAGAATTATTCATTACTTAGTCAGCTTAAGGTCTTGACTGAGGTGAGAGAGAAGCCTCTCAGTGTGTTTCCAATAATAAAGAAGACTTTTTGAAAGGAAGATGGAAATGTAATATTAAGTCATTTGTCTTTTTCCTCTGTGTGTGTGTGTGTTTGTGTGTGTTCAGAGTGAACAGCAGAGAGAGCTTACCCAGATTCAGTACCTAGCCTGGCCTGACCACGGGGTTCCTGACGACTCCACTGACTTCCTGGACTTTGTGTCTCTGGTGCGGACAAAACGGGCCGGACAGGACCATCCCATGGTGGTGCACTGCAGGTATACTCACTCTTTCTGTGTTTTTTAAAGAGGTGAACCCGTTATCAACCATTTTGCGTGCTTGAGGTTGATTAACTGAAGTACAATAGACCCACAGAAGTAAAATAACAAAGATGGCACATGTACCATGCTTTCATACTGAAGTAAAGGTTTAGGCCCCTGTGTCTATCACAACAGTTTTTCATGATTGCGTTTACCAAGTGACTCTTGCTAGTGCAGAATTATTACACATTTGTAAGAGTGAAATAAAAGTCATGAATTCTGATATTTTATGGAATTTTCTCTGATTCAGGAGAAAATTTGATAATTAATTTTGTGCCACTTTTTTCTCATTATAACTTTAATTAAATTCTAATAAAATGTTTCTTGATTCCAGTGCTGGCATTGGTCGAACAGGGGTTCTGATCACCATGGAGACGGCATTGTGTCTAATGGAGTGCGGTCAGCCAGTGTTTCCTCTGGATACCGTCAGGACCATGAGAGACCAGAGGGCCATGATGATACAAACACCAGTACGTAGACACATCCTTTTTCTGTCTCAATGCTCTCACATTTTAAACCCTGCGCTAAAATGTGTATCTATCTCCCTTGCAGAGCCAGTACCGCTTTGTGTGCGAGGCCATCCTGAGAGTGTACGAGGAGGGCCTGGTCAAACCGTTCAGGACCGTCGTCTACCAGCTGAGAGAAAAGGGGGAGGAGGACGGGATGGAGGAGGAGTACGGAGAGCAGCTGAACACGGCAGAAGGATCGGAGATGGAAGCGTCGGAAGACGGGGATGTGGTGTCTGCGGTGGAGCTGCTGGAAGAAGGTCTAGATGAAGAGGACGACGACGACGAAGAGGTGGAGGTGCTGGACGTGGGGGAAGTGACGGAAGACGGAGAGGACGACGAGGACGAGGAGGTGGAGGAGCCGAGCGTCGCAAGCATCGCAAGTGCTGCAAGCATCGCGAGTGCCGCTAGCGCCGCTAGTGCTGCTAGCGCTAACACGGAGACCAGCGAGAACCCTGACCCCGACCCCGCTAACCCCTAACTTTTGACCTTTGGCAGTCACCGGGGGTTACCAGGAAGTTGCCAGGCAACCGGAGGAGAGAACAAAAGCACTGTTGCACTTTACGCTGAGAAAAATGGGGGGAAAAAGGACACACAAACGAACAAATAAACAAACAAACGTGAAAGTACTGGACAAGCTAGAATAAAAAAAGAACCCAGCCGTGTTGAATAGGTACCATTAGGGGGATACTGTATGTTCCGGGTGAAGATAAAAGTCTACAAAGAGTGAAAAGTACGAGAGAATAAAACGTGGATGGGGAATTGCTGTAGTGCCATAAGTAAGAAGGGGAAGGGCCGCCACCCCAATGGATGGAACGTTTTTTTTTTTCCGCAAAGGGTCGCCCTGTCCCCTTCCGAGCGAGTCTGCCAGACGGACCTGCCTTTTTTTAGTGTCCTTTTAGCTGATAAAGAGATATACCTTATCTTTTGTTCCTCAGAAAGAGTATTTATTGTGTTTTTAGTTTGTGTCAAACCCTGTCCACTGAACAAAACAAAAAAAGAAATGTGTATGTTTGTTTGTATGAATCTAGAGCTTCATGCTTTCCTGATTACATTTTTAGGTAGTAAAGTATTCCTCTTCCTCTAACTACTTCTTTATTTGCTTTTTGCTTTTTTCGTGGGGGGGAAAAAAACCTGATTTAATTTATTGTACTTACCTTTCTCGGCTTTCTGACTTCCTGACAGCGCAGATGGACATCTCACCTCTTGTTCAATGCCGCGGCAAGTTGTGTTTTTGATTCTGCTTTGTGCTGAGTTTTTTAGCTTTACAGACAACACATGCTGCCAAGCAACCTTTGTTTGCCGGTGTTTACTGGGCACCTCTCTTTCAACCCTTTCTCTCTACTGTAGGCCTACCACTGAATGACACAGGGACAGAAAATGATACATTTCAGAAAAACTCATTCATTCACCGTATGTAATGCTAATGCTAATTTAACACAGGAAGACGAATTTGGTATCAAAAAGAGAGGCCCCCCCTAGACACTCGACCTCACTAACCTACAATCTAAGCTAATTCCTCCGCTGTGGTTGATAAAGCTTAAGAATCAAGGATGAGGTCAGTTCATTTCGCTTATTCAAATCGACATTCACTCAATTAGATTTTTAAATCAAAATCTGGGTCCCTGTCTGAAGTGTCCTTGAGCCAGACACTAGCAATACATTAATTGTTTTAGAACCTGGTACGCAAATAATGATGAAAAAAACATGAGTTTTTAATTAGTTTTGAAGTGGTTAAAAGCTGCTTAAACTTTTATGCAATCAGTATTTCCATTTTAGGATAACTTGACGGTGAACTGATCTCAACCTTTAGTGTGAATCGTAAACATTTTAAAGGCTCCCTCCACTGACCTCTCTAATTTGTCTTACAATTTAACGACATTTGAATAATTGTATCTTTCCTTAACATTTGCAGAATATTGAGTTCTTGTATGACCCAGGTATCCATTCATTTAATTTTTCCAAAGAATTTTCCTAACCTAATAATTTTTAAAATCTTGTTTTTATTAAGGTTCAGAGGTCACTGGAGCGGAGCTTTAAACCGACCTTTGCTGTTTATTTTTTCTCTAAATCTGTCTGTGTGCCAGAGAACAGTTGACAGTTCAAAGAAGCAGCACAAATACTACTTTCACCCAATCATTTTTCCCTTGTTTTTAAAATAATCTTTCCCAATGGTACTTTATTTTTAAGGCACATGTTGTGCCAAGATGATGTGTTAATGAGTGACAAAACTTGTATTTTTAATTCACAAAACCCAGCATCGAATTGAGTCTTTTTCTCTCTCCGTACAGGTAAAACTGAACATAGTGGTATGGAATGAAGTGTAGCCTCTTCATCATTTGAGATCTTTTTCTTATTGGTACCTGCTGTCATTGGATTCTGCTGGAAAACCCTTACTGCTGTGAGTGTGTGAGAGTGTGTGTTCTCAGATCTTTTTCTACATCTCTGTCCTTCCTCAATTTCTAACATGTAGTCTGTTAGCTGTCTGGTCTAAGCCTGCTTGTCCGTTAACTGGAATGATGGGTTGTGCCATAGCGACACAAACCTAATCAAAGGTTTTTCCAAAAAAACTCAAATACATCATTCTTGGAGAGTGTTTTATGTCTGTCCTATAAACAAGGCTGAATTGTATCCTTTAAAACATTTTAAAACAGCTGAATCATACTTTTGCCACATCAACAAAAGCAATCTTTCTCTATTTTATTTGTTATACTCTCCTATATCATGGCCCTCTCTAACAATCTGCCCTCTCTCAGAGCCTACGCAACATCCACAGTCTATTCTTCTTGTTATTCCCCAGATGCCTTTTTTAAATTATTTTCCACTCTCTAAATAGCCTCAAGGCAAATGATAAATATGAGCAGAATACCATGAGTTTGTAGCCAGTGAATGACTGACTGATTTGTTTCTCATTGGACGTATGAGCTAAAATAAAAAAACATTTAGCCCCGTTAGCATTTGTTATTCAGCTGCAGGGCAAAATCAAATTGAATTAGCGCTAAAGGGCTCATGATAAAACAATTATTTAAAAGAAAACTGAATTTTTTTAACGGAAAACATAAATCATGGGCCCCACCGTGAAAAGTTAATAATTGATACATCAGGGCCGCCATCTGTGTTCAAAGTTTTTCGTTGTTGACACATAATTGGTACTGTGTGTGCGTTTAGGGTACTGATCAAAGGTAGTTTGAGGGGACCAGACATAGGGAGGGCTCGGGGTTAGTTGTTTTTTTGTAAAGATAAACAAAACAGCTGTAGTCAGGTTAGGGAAAGGACAGCACTTTGTAGAAGGCTGAGTGGCAGGTAGTGCTACTGGAAAAAAAAAGTAAAAATAAGTCGGAGAAATAATGCATTAAGTTCTTTTTTTTTTATTTGTCATTTTTATTTAGTTTCTAAATAAGACCGGTAGGGGAAAAAAAGAAAATAATTCCTAACTACACAGTGCCACTTGTTAATTTTGTGTAAATAATACTAGACCCTGTAAATACAATGTTGTATATGAAAAAAAAATCTTTAAAATAAAAGGGAAAATCATTTGTGAGCAGAAAGATTTGTTTTCATTTGATTTTTTTCCCCTTTTTTTTTGGATGATTTAAATGTGACACAAATGGTGTGAAATGGTATTTCAAGACTGCAATTTCCATTTTTTTTTGTTTTGAGATAATAATCTATAACAGCGAGTGTATATATAATGAATCACAAAAGAATTGAGAAATGTTTTACCGTATTATACCCTTGGTTAACTCCTACCTGTGTCATAAAATCCTTTGTCCTCAGTTGCTTGTTTCTTTCTGGTATCATGGTTTTACGGTGCTTTGTCTATAAGCTTGATTGTGAACAATTAAAGCTTGTCTGTCAAAGCATGGAGACGTGGCTTCGGATCCCTTTTACTTTTTCCACACTGTAAACGTGAGGTTTGGAAATGTTAGCGTGAGCAGCGAGAAGAAGAAAAAGATGGCACTAGTGCTGAAATCATTAACAGAATAACTTTTCCAATAGTTTTTTAATTAAATGTAACTAAAGAGTAAAAACTAAGTCTAGCAACATCTCTGTAATGCCTAGAATAAAACAAATGCACTGACAGAAATAGGTTTTATAAGAGGAAAAAAAGGTTTGGAGTAAAAACTGGTATTCTCAGGACACATCTCTGAAAAAGCAGCTTTACCACAGTCTTAAAAATGAACCAACCTTTAAGTTTTATGATAACGTCAATTATCTCATAGAATAAGCTATTCTAATTCTATTATTATCTAACCACCTCCTTTTAAAATGGTATTATTGATCCAGATGCAATAAAAATAGGTATTACTGCCTAATAAAGCCATGGCTAGTACTGTTATGCACATCGTCTGAAACGTTATAAATTCAACACACAAAAAAAGCAGTTGCCATGCTTCGGAGGTTTATCAATTCTCATTTTTAAAGTTGGTATAAGCCTCATAAGTCAAGTTGGCCTACTTAAATGTATAGACCACAGCTGGGTTATATAAGAGCTTACTTGTGGCAAAGCATGGGCCAAATTTTGAGACAGTATAAGTAGGCATTTTGCAGAGTAACACTGCGCAGGATATACACCATCCACATTCATTATAGGGATACCATATATGGTTACCTAATATTGTACATAAAAAAAGCACCCATGATAAATTAGATTTGGGCCTTTATTGTTGGCAATGCTTTTGACCTGCACCTTTGGTGTGATGTGCTTCAGAAAAACATTAAATGTTTAAATTATTGTAGTGACATTTAGGATGAAGTTAAGAGTAATCCCTGCTCCTGGCAGGAATTGCATGTAAAAAAAACGTAAAACATACAGTCAAATGTTTAAACCTTTATTCCCAAACGAACCAGAAGGGGGTGTTGTTCTCCAATAGTGGCAACAATCTTATTAAACAGTAGTGGTGACAAAACCTTATGGCGGCTTCATTCATAAATATAATGAAAAATCCAATGTTCTTAATACGGGAAGTTTTGGATGAAATTACACCTATTTCATGAATGTTTGGTTATTTATATATTTTACTGCATATATTGTTACTTTATGCAGCAACCCTGTTTTCTCAGGCCATGTATTAAGAAATAACAGCGTAATTGAATTTATTTGATATAAACCGACAAGGAAAATTAATTTAGCGTGTTGTTTTTAATACTTAAAAGTATTTAACAAAAAGCATAATTTAACCATGCCGTCTCAAACTAAAAGGCGTGTCGCTTTAAAAATGCTAATTACGTTTTTGTTGGGGATTTATCGTGACGTCACATCCTGAGGAAAGCTTTGCCTCCTACTTTTTGTTGGGACCTGGGAGAGAAAATTATCCAGCAGAGGTAACGAAGTTGGGAAAAGAAAGAAAGAGAAACAAGTTACACACCATGGAAATGTACTAGGTTGCTTTTTGGTCGTCTAAAATGCAAGCGGACGTGCTTTCACCGTGAATTCATACGAGGAGGTTTTTGTAAGTACCTTTTATCCAGACCGACACGGACCCACAAGTGGCTGCGGAGCAAGTGTATGTCGGATACAGCCTTCTGAGCAAAGGCGGCGTTTGATTTGCTGAACGGGACGCGCTTGTACGGACGGAGCCTTGTGTACTGTGTGCGTTCGGTGCTAACGGTTAGCTCCTGCTGTAAAACAAGCGCACACCTGTTGCATTTGCTTTCATCAGGTACCTCAGGCCTAAACTGGGTTCAATTTAAAGCCAAGGGTTACATAGTTGATTTATTTGACTACTTAATATTATTTTTGCGGAAGCATAAAGAAGCTTTTTTGCCTGTCATTGTATTTTAGACATTTTAAGGGGTTTTAGCAGCCCAGAAAGCTCAGTCATTTCTCAGCGGTTTATTTTTCTGGATGACGTGCACCACAAATACTAAACGAGTTTACACATCTTTGAAGTGTACTACATAGTAGTTTACTTTAGCAAATTAATTTAAATGTCAATTTAATTACATTTCCAAAATACTTTTTATCTTTTCCTCTTTTTTTCAATTCGTCGAATAGAGAAACACAGTAACGTTAAATGAAATAATTAAACATTAGAATATGTATATGTTCTCGTTATCTTAATGTTAAGTCAGTGTTAGCATTATGACACTGAAACTAACAGTTAGCACTAGCTCACCTTAAAACCAATCGTTTACTGTTTCCGTTATTATTAATAAGCAGAGTTAGTTAGTGTAACAATTGGGCTTATAATGCAATACATGTTAACAGGATACGACGTAATGCTGTCAATTATTCCTCTTTCCAACTGAGTTACTTTATAAAACGCTATATCCGTTGATGTAACCTAGCTTAGCTTTATTATCCGATTTTTTTATTTGTTAGCAGATTAAAGCTAACTCTGTCAGCCAACATGTATCTCTAGGTGTATGTCAGACAGGTTGTTTTCAGACTAGAAATACTCATGTACTTTAGTAAAAGTACCTGAGTGTAGGAATATTATTTTACAAGTAAAAGTCCTGCTATGTTACTCAAGTAAAAGTACTAAAGTATCATCATCAAATATACTTTAGTACCAAAAGTAAAACTATATGCAGATTTCAGAATAATGAATATTATATGTTTTGATTACAATTGTTGATACATTTTAAGTGTTATCAAAGCTGATAAAGATGCAGCATTGTGTTGCAAGTGTTGATTATATTTCACATCATCAATCCAAGTAAAATTACATGATATACCTCTGAATTGTAGTTGGGTAGAAGTCCAAGGTAGTAAAAGGTCAAGTAAAGTACAAGTTGCTCAAAATTGTACTTGAGCACAGTACTTGAATACATACTTAGTTACTTTACACCACTGGTTGCAAACAATTTAGTTAATATACACTTAATGTTAAGAACAAAGGAGACTGTTGCCTTCTCTGCATCCTGCATATTATGCAATGGTAACTAACTATATAGCCAATATGGTAATATGAAAAAAGGGCTCACCTGTTTGTTTGCAGTTTCTGTCAGGTATTCATTGTGACTAACTAGCTAGCTGCTAAATGACATTGACAGCATTATCTAACAAAACAATAAAACTGCTTCTTATTTTTCTGTGGTCGCAGCATACACATAACAAACAAAATGTACATATTATTTTTAAATCTGTAACGATTCTAAAGCCCTGTGCAGTTCACTAATACACAATTATCTTCTCTTCTCTCACAGGTGTGGTAGTGTGACCCTCCCTCTCCCCCATCATCATGCTGAGTTTCCTGCGCAGGACGCTGGGGCGACGCTCCATCCGGAAACATGCAGAGAAAAGTCGGTTACGGGAAGCCCAGCGTGCCGTAACGCACATCCCTGCTGCTGGGGACGCAAAGTCTGTCATCACCTGCCGTGTGTCCTTACTGGACGGGACGGACGTCAGCGTGGACCTGCCGGTAAGGAGAAAGCCTTTTTGGTTGTTATCTGCGCAGTGATCACTACCCAGACGTTTTTGATCTTCAGCCATCAACATTGAGATTGTGCTTTCTTATATACTTGATTGTTGGGAGCAGCATGCTATATAGCGCTTGTCAAGGCTTTGGGACCTCTCAAAGAGCTTTCACATAGACATAACCTTCATTCACATTCATACGATACCAAACAAGGTGCCACCTGCTTAGGAAACCTAGCATTCACACACATTTACTCATGATTTACACAATGTTGGCCATACCATCGGGAGCAATTTAGGGTTAAGTATCTTGCTCAAAGACGATTCAACATTTTTAACATTGAGGACGTCCATGTACCTCCTGAGCCTCAGTTACCAAAAACAATTGGACTTTTTAAATCACATACTAACTTGAGTTACAAAGCAGTTTGGTGTCTACATAAGGAAATTGAGCATATACTGTATGCAGTTAGTAAGCAAGTTAACAAGTAAGTAGTCAAGGAAGATCTCTGACAGTGGCGACACATCAGTGGTCAAACAGAAGAAAAGTATTTAGATATGAACAAGTTAATTTAGCTAGTTTTTTTTTGTGCCCACTAACACTCTTGTTCCTTATTTTGCTAGTTGGAAAGCAATGTTAATATACACGATTTTCATGTGTGTGTGTGTGTGTGTGTGTGTGTGTGTGTGTGTGTGTGTGTGTGTGTGTGTGTGTGTGTGTGTGTGTGTGTGTGTGTGTGTGTGTGTGTGTGTGTGTGTGTGTGTGTGTGTGTGTGTGTGTGTGTGTGTGTGTGTGTGTGTGTGTGTGTGTGTGTGTGTGTGTGTGTGTGTGTGTGTGTGTGTGTGTGTGTGTGGTGTGTGTGTGTGTGTGTGTGTGTGTGTGTGTGTGTGTGTGTGTGTGTGTGTGTGTGTGTGTGTGTGTGTGTGTGTGTGTGTGTGTGTGTGTGTGTGTGTGTGTGTGTGTGTGTGTGTGTGTGTGTCATTTCTGAATCTGTCTACCTGTTAGAGCTGCAAAAATAATGAACACGTTATCCTTCGTATCCGCTCAGTATTGTGTGCCAAGAAAGGTGAGACTTTCTTTGAGTGGAATGTTATCTGCTGCAACTGTTTCTCTTTCTTCTTTTTGTTTACCATTGTTGGTTGGGATTTTTTACTTCCTAATCGTTAAAGTTTATTGACCTTGTAGCAGTGTGCTTTCATGCTTTAAAAATTCAGTCAGTTTCTGTGTGGGCCTGAAGGAACATTTGGTTTGATTCTGAATGCATTCCAGCAGAGCCCTGGCCTTGTGTTAAGTTTCAAAAATAACTTTCTTTGGTATATAGGATATCCTTCTGTCGTATCATCCATCTATCTCCAAGTGATAGGACATTGACAAGAACCCAGTTAGCAGCATTGCTCTGTTAGCTTTCTAGACATCTGTTGCAACAGTATCAGCATTCAAACACAACCAGAAAGGAACTGTAGAAGGGAAGACCTCGTAAGAGGACTACTTCTGTGTATGTTAAGGTGTTCTCAGCAACACTCCTCATTTGGTCAGTCATTATGGGTAGTTTCTCTTTTTTTAGCTTCTCCCTCAAAACCTCATCAGATAAAGTGAAATGTTTCTCTTCTGCTGGGTGAGTGTTCTTGCCCTACGCTAGAGCCTGCATGTGTTGACAGTAAGTGGAGGCAGCTAAGCAGGGCTCTCGACTAACTTTTTTCACCATCCTCCCGGAACCGTCCCGAAATACAATCTAAGCCGTCCCGAAATTAATGTGGACCGTCCCGAATTTAAAATATTTGTTTTTCTACATTATCATTAGTTAAAATCATTCAAAGTGACCTTTAACATAAATAAAACATCATACAAATCATTAGATGATAATTCATCAACCTTTTTATTTGAGTCAATCAGTCAAACACATAAACAAAGGCCAAATATATTTAAAAAAAACACACAAGCGAGAAAGTTGCTCTAATATTGAATCCAATCAAGTCCCATCCGATTAACAACAAAATCCAACACTCTGTCCTGAAGACAGAACCCAGAGTAACCACTAACCAGGATGACAGTCTGTAACACAGTCAGGAGACCTTTACAAACTGCCCCGCCCCCTCGCACACAGGAGAGAGCTCTCTCGTCTGGATTGGAAAGATCGAAAATAAGATCGAAAATACATCATAGACGCATTTTGTAGTCTTATTGCATATTAGAAACGGAGTTGGCGAAACTAAAACTGCAACATAATGTTCATGTAGCAATAATACATATGACATATATGTTTTAAATGTCTCTACCACTGTCTTTAATAATTCCGGCCCGGGGCCCGTTTAATACCGGGGCTCGGTACCCATCCCTACATGGGGAGAGGCGCAGCATATTGCTAAGGACTACATGCGATGGAGAGTTCTCATCTCAGCTGCAATGACATGTCTGGAAACCCCCTCTCGGGTGTCCCATGCATAGCGCGCCGTCAAAAGCTGCTTCATAAGTTAAGTTTCGTTTCTCCGCACCGCTCCGGGGTAAAAAAATGGTAGTTACATCACAGCTGTACGGCTGGCTGACAGCTGTAGCTATACGTACTGTGTGTATTTCGCGGGTTGCTAAATGCTTTGTGTGTGTTTATGTTGACAAGGAGGTTTAATAACTGTGTGCTACACAAAACGTGCAGTCAGTTTCATTTTCATCGCCGTTCGTAGTAGAGTTAGCAGGGTATTTTTATTTTAACTCTCGTCCCAAATTCGTCCCAAAATTAATTTGTATCCTCCCCGACCCGATTTTTTTCGGCCCCGGGACGACGGGAGGTCCTTAAGCTCGAGCCCTGAGCTAAGGCAGGGCATCACCATGGAAACATTGTCATGCTCAGTGTTAGATTTTCCTGAGGTTATCAGGCGGACTTTTGTCATCTGGGGGGCGGCCCCCTTTAGTTGGTGATTGGACTAATTGGTGGTGTTGATCCAAGATTTCATAAGCTGGCTAACTTAAAAAAAGGCTTTTACAGTTATTTCCAATATGAGCATATCTCAATATGAGCATATCACCAATCAACACAAGGATTTGATTGGTGCTTTTTCATCTTTGTGGAGAAACTCAGTTTTACCGATCTGTCCATTTGGTGTTGATCGACTAAGAATTCAGGGAGTTATTCATGTTTCTATTATATGGAGTTAATTCTTTCAGCTTGACTTAAGAAGATGCAGATATCAATTAGTTGTCCTCCTTGCAGCAGAACCCAATTGGACCAATGGAATTCTAAAAGGTCTAATTTTGTGTTGTCACTAGCGAACTTTTATTGGAGGGAGGAGTATCAACATAGACACGAGAAAATATCCTTACAGTAGAGAGGGAAAGATAGCAGGTTTCCAGGGAAAGATATCATTTAGATAACCTGACTTCAGAAAACGGTTAGCACACACTGCCTTTAATCCTTTTACTGGCAGCTTTTTTGTTTTGCTGGTAAAGCACATTGTGTAATAGGAGTGGTGGTATCTATAAAACAGGTTAAACACTTTTTTTTGTTTAAAAAGGCTTCAGCTAACCGAGTTGTAGTTTAGATTCCTGTTTTAGTTCGCACAACGTATAACATCTTTCTCACTGTCAGTGTTTATTTTTTGGTTAACAAGACAGTTAAACATTTATCTCGATTAAAGGGTTAGCAGTTAGCCAGGTTATAGCTAAGAAGTTGTTGATTCAACTCAGGCCGGTATACATTTGGGGAACCCCCTGCTTAATGGTGAAATGTTTTCCCTTTTAGGTGTTCAGGCGGTTGCAAATAGAAGGCCACAATTTAAAACTGAATAGAGCTCCTTCACATGCTTTCCTGGCCTCCCAGCCGTGTGTGTGTGTGTGTTTGTGTGTGTGTCACTAGCATGTAAGGCCATCCGAAGTTGACTCCTAGGGATACTTTTGTTTGCCGCATCCATGTCCAAACAGAATTCCACACAGCCTCACGATTCACATTCCTCCCTATAAATGTATTTACTTCCTTGTCTTTTCTCTTTATCTTCTCGCCCCATTCCCCTCCCTCCAGCCCCCCACACTGTCACCCCCTTTTCTATCGCTGGAGATTTGTAGCCCAGAGAAGACGTTTAAAAAAAAAAAAAAAAAACATAAAAATATTTCTGTTGATGTTAAAACTGTACAGCTCACCATTGGATCTGATATAAAATAATAGTCTGAATGGCTCGACATTAAAGTAACCTCATTTCATTTTCAATTATCCACAACTGAAATATTTTTGTAAACAATAAGGCTCTCTTTTTGTTCTGTATGCTTGCATAATCAAAACATCTACCAAACGTCATCAGCACATGGATTAGATAAGACAAACTTAAAGGTGGGGTATGTCATTTATTTCAGAAACACTTTTTGTTATATTCCATGGAATGCTCTTAACATCCCGATAGCAATGAATATATTAAATGCTTTGAAAATAAATACATAAAAAAAATTAATCTGTGGAAGCCGTGGCGCTGTAAAAAGCCCGACCAATCATTTTAGCCGTCCCGGGTGAAATAACTGGATGGCCTACCTGCCTGTCAGCCTTCCACCTGTGCACAAACTTATCTCGTGCCCTCATTGGTCATGTGCGCGTTCGTGTGTGTTGGAGGAGGGGCTCTGTAAGGAAGTGGCAGATTTTTTCCGGTTTTGTATTTTCAAATTCTAGCGCACTCGAGCTGGTTTCTCCAAAATGACCTACCTCACCTTTAAAGGGCCCATGTCATGGCCATTTCCACTGATCATAATTACATTGTTGAGGTATACTAAAATAGATTTATACTGTGCAATGTTTCCAAACTCACATTGGTTTCGCATACAGCATCTCTGTCAAGCATGTGTATTCAGCAGTATTCACTTTCTCCACTAAACGACTCGTTGGAGCTCTTGCCCCCCCCTCCCTGTGAGCCTAGTGTGCTCCGATTGGTCAGCTCGGCCACTCGTTCTGATTAGTCAACCACCAGAGAGGCTGCGCCCATGTCCAGTGCTTTTCCCGGCTGCTCTCAGCGTAACATCAGTCTTATCATGGCGTCGGTACAGGCGGTATATTTTATATACATATATATTTTTAACTGTTGTTATAGAAGAGTGTGACGGCCTCAGGGCCTTTGTCTTACGGTGGGGTGGAGCTGAAAGAGGGGTAATCAGCGCGATCACGGACACCTCCGTAGCCGGTGCTATTAATCCCAGCGGCCCGGAGTCTCTCTCCAAAGCGGCTGCAGAAGGACGAACTGAGCGACCCTCTCCCCACGACCACCTGTCTCTGCATTTACCACAATAAATGTGCCGTGGTTTTGTAAACTCGTGTATGTCTCCTTGTCTTTCCGTTGTGGCCTACGAGCTACTCTCATAACAAAGAGTAAGTTATTTTTACCCGTTATAAACTACTACTGTTTGATGAGAAATCAAATCATGGTTTGCTATATATGAATTCAGGGAAGAAAGGATAGGCCTACTAAGTATTTCCATTAAACTTTATTTTTTAGAAATGTACAAAATGAACATAAATATACATATATACACGGTATATCATCCATTCCTCCTCCTCGCATCTTGCCTGCGCACAGTCGGTGCGGTGCCTTTTAGCACCCTCAGTAGTAGTAGAATCCCTTCCCCGTCATGGATTGTCCGCCAGGATCTGGCTGGACGAAATCAAATGCAAATCACAAAATATTAGAGAAACTTAGTTGTTTTAGATTCGTTAGTAGTAGTTGTGTAATGAACAGCTTGCCTGCTAATATGCTAACCTAGCTTTGTTTACCTTGGTAGCTAACACGATATGAACGTTAGCTTGGAGGAAAGGCAACTATAATGCAGTGTAATAAAACTACTATGAACAAAAGCTAGTGGTTCATATTAGGCTAGCAATAACGTGTTTATAATTGCAATCGTATACGGGTATTCTGCTACGTTCGGTCATACAATGTAACTTGCATGAATACATTGTTTTGCGCTAGCATACAGCTAGCCTCGTTAGCTACATGCAGTATATGTACGGTCACAATGTACGGTAAATCACAGTACAGTATACTGTATGAGTATTCCGTGTGTGTGACTGCAGACATTCTCCTGCCATGACAAACATGTAAGGCCATCTGCTGACATTGTAGTTGATATATTTAAACGCTAGCAACGTAGCATCACAAAAATGTTTTTCTGACCAAAACTAGCTCTACCTCCGTGTGTTAGATCGCTACGCCAGCTATAATGTAATTACGTTTCGCGACTGACCGGCAAATCACCCGGAGTATACTGTCAATAGGTATTTTGTGTGTGAATGCAGACATTCTCCTGCTATGAGATACATGTATGCAAGGCCATCTGCTGATATTAGAGTTGATATATGGAAACTCTAGCAACTTAGTTAGCACAGTTAGCACTGTGTCAATGGCTTAGCAGTCCAACACAGTTTACACATTTAAACAGTCTTGTTTGATAAATACACAAATAACAATGCAAACTTACAGGTTGTATACCCAGATCTTCCCCTGCTCCAAACGGTCCAAACAAGCTGTGCATATCCGGCCTCAAAACTGGGCAATGTTTGGAAGCTTTCGTCTGTGAAATGCCGGTTCTTCGAACCTCTGGAGGAGGAACACGACGCTGCTGGTGTGGCCATAGCTCTTCGGGATTGGTCCATTTCGTTCCGGGTACCGCATGACATCAGGCTTTAAGTGATTCCAAATTGGTTTATTGTTTCCGTACTGGAACATATTACCAAGGTGTTGCATATGAGTTAAAACATTTAAAAATAAACAACTTTAACAGTGAATATATACATATCAACATAAAAAAGATCTATACAGTATTCACTATTCACAGAATACAAAACAAATTAATTTTAATACATTGTAATAGCTTAAAAATAAACCCACAATATATAGATATTTGCATTTGTTGAGCAACTCTCACTGGAGTGAATGTGCAGATATGTTTAGTTATCCATTGTTTAACCTTGCCCTGTAACGTCCTGCTGATTTCCACGATGTGAAGGTTCACAAAATACAAACAGCATTTATTCTTTATGGTAAATAGGGCATTGCGTAAAGTGTAGTTTACATGGCGTCCCTGAAGAGTACTCAAGAAACCTTTTATAACTTTGGTAATAAGTCAAAGGAAAGCCATGGAGCCGATTTATTGCCGAGTTGTCAGGTCACCTTGTGTCTTGTTGTGGTTGAGTGGAATTTGCAGAGTCACACGCAGTGACTTTATTACTTAAATGGGCATGCAAAGTAATGCTCCATTAAGGACAAACAATAGCTCGCTATAACTTATCTCTTGTGGTGTAATGAGTAAACATGGCCAGAAGATTATAGGACCCGGAAGTGAGCAGCGCAAAGGGCTCGCTCTGCTAAAGCCAATGGGATTTATCCATTTGATTTTGGAACATTTGAAAACAAGATCGTGGCAGACACACATTTATGATACTGACACGTTTTTTCTTCAGCATGATAATCTCCACATATTAACACTACTTTTACAATAGGCTAATAGTTGGGCTATTAATGAGCAACTTCACTTCACCACTGCTAAGCTAAAGGCGGCCAAAATTCAGCCTGAAGACATTTAATAGTCTTATTTAGCCAATTGTTAGCAACTGAAGTAGAAGCTTCATGCATCATACCAGTGGGGAAGCTTGTATTAACCACAGACCTTAATTGTGGCATCCCTCGTCTTAAATTTGAGTTTAAGACGAGGGAACCCGCAAGTGCTAAAATGCTAACTAAATTCCTAGGTTTAAGACTCATTCCTGCACCACTCTCTGCTATAAATGGACAGGAAAGTGTGTAGAATAAACAAACAATATGATTGTCCTTCTTAAAATCCGCTAGTCTTCCACCTTCCACATTGTGTTTTGCCCCGTTTAAACAGGCTGCATTACTACGCCCAATGATTTGAATGGAGTTGTAAATTGCAGTAGATAAGAGCATCAGCTAAACACCTCAATTGTAACTTGAACATTGTGACGCACAGTGTCTGAGAGACAGATCTGTGTGCTCACAGGCCGGCAGGAAGACTGCAAACAGCCCAACAATACTGCAGGCAGTATAACAAGGCCTTGAGTGCAGCACACATGCACACACACACACACACAAACACAAACACAAACACAATGAGTCCTTTGTACTCTCTCCCTGGGTACTGTAGGGGTGCGGTATGCCTTGTCAACTATGCCAGCTAGCATGGGGCCAGCCCCCCCTCAGCTGCCCAGGAGCTCTCTTGGGGTCTGTGAGAAAAGAAAGTGTGTTTTTATTTTTTCTACACAGTGATTTATTCCTGATTTTCGTGAGAAAATATTGCATATAGTTAGTGAAATCTACCTTAAAAGCAGCTAATATAACTTCCCAAAAATGGAAGAAACAGGCTACAGCTCTGATACCAACATCAGCGTTAAAGTACATTAAAGCTCAGTGAATTGAGGCATTATAAATATGGGAAAGTGTCTGTTCATGTTAATATAGAACAAAATCCCAAATAATCTGAGTTTGTGCTGACCTGGGTCCATGCCCATTGCTCGAGTTACAGTATTTAGTTGTTGCAGCAGTTAGTGTGTCATTAAACAAGTGGACAAAAAAACTCCTTACACCCCGGTGATTTACTGAAGGGATACCTTCAGAGGCCAGTCACATGGATGCCATGACCATTACTCTGCATTCTGTATGGGGACTCGATGTTCACATGAGCGGTCAAAGGGAAAACATTGTGGATTGTGGATGTTTTTGTTCTGAAGGTTCTAACACACTAATGTAAAACATTTTTTGCAAGTGTAGTTGTTGCAAGAAAACTCTTATCATTTCAGTGCCAGAACAAAATGGATTCAGAAAACACATTGCACTAGTTCCATCTTTTGGAGAGTCTGATGTAGACTCATACTCCAGTGCATCGGAACGCATCGCTGCTACATTACATTGGCCGAAGAGTGTATGGCCTCTTTTACTGCATTGCAAATTGATGGGGAAAAGCTCAGGAAGTGTGTTCTTCTGAGACAATCTAAGAAAGTCTTAATGATGACATTGTTAAAGCCATCTTCCGTAGTGCTTACAAATTGGTGCCGCAAGCATAAAGGCAAAATTGTAGGAATTTTGAAAAAACTGACATGTTGAGTTTGCTAGGAAGAACAGTGGTCTTTTTGAAACATAGTGCCAAGCCAGCTAGGTTAAAACCTTAAATCATATGCAAGAGCTCATACTGTATTTATTTCAATGAAAGGCAGTAAAACAACCAGAGTAATACAAAGAAGAAAATTCACTCTGATCCTGGATGGCATTTGTTCCTGATTTAGTGAAGGGCTCACAGAGCCAGATGATCACATGATGTCTCCAGCCACCCCACTTCCCCTCAGCTCCTGGTGTCTGGGGCACCTCAGCCCCCATAACCATGGCAACTCTGTCACTGTGCCTCATGGGAATTTGGATGTGTGTGCGCATGTGTGCATGTGAGGGAGAGATCTCCCAGTCCCAGGCTGAACACAGGCAGTGACTGGTACGGCCTTGTCAGAAAGGACCACACCTGTTTCAAACTTGGCGTACTTCATGTTAATATGTTCTCATATCTCTCTATGCAAATCCATGAAACACAAATCAGAGCACACTTTTTCCAAGTTTTAAGCTCTGCACCTAACAATGTTTTGTCGCAGGTTAAATAAAAGGAAAAAAGAGGTCTTCAGAGGAATGAGATAAGTGGTCCCCGGGTCAGAATTGCACCACATTGCAGATGTATCTGTTGTAATTTGACCTCATCTCCCGGACTGACAATCCGTAGACTACCCATTTCTTCCTTAGCTAGAATTTGGATGCTGCTTACACTTCTTGACTATATCAATATTAATACTTTCAATATTCACACTTTAAACTTCTTTCTAATAACACTTGTTTACATCTTGTGTTTCCTTCATGACCCTAGATTTCTCACTATGTCCTCTGTTTATTCGGTTCAGAAAAAAGCCAAAGGTGAGGAGCTGTTTGACCAGATCATGTACCATCTGGACATCGTAGAGAAAGACTATTTCGGGCTGCGCTTCATGGACTCTGCACAAGTGGCGGTAAGAATGAAAATACACCTTAAACAAACATCTCTCATTCTTTTAAACGTCTTATTTGGATACTTTCACTGTTCTTGTGATTTTGTTACCTGTAACTGTAATCAATCCTAATATCCACTTTCCTCAACTCCTCATTATTGTATTCATTAGTGCTGCACATTAATTGAAATGTTAAATGGGTCCTATTATGCTTTTTGGAGTTTTCCATTTCCTGTAGTGTGTTATATAGGTGTTTGTGCAAAGTTCCCTTCCCCTGCCTGAAACGCCTCCATTGGACTCCTTTGTTTACTTCCTATAACATAATGACATCACTATAAAACACTTGCACTTCTATTGGCTAGCGCACCAACACATTTTACGTGATAGGCTACGGGGCGGAACATTTCTAAGGGTTTGACCGATCATAACAGAGCTGGCCAGCTAACCAATCTGAGCAGACGGGGCTCTGGTTTCAGACAGAGGGTGAAAAGAGGTGCTGCAGCACAGGCAGTATGAGAAAAATAAAGACCTTTTTGAACATTAAAGCAAGGAGACATGTCACAGTGAGTAGAGGCGTAATTAGGGATGCTCCGATCGATCGGTCACCGATCGAGATCTGCCGATACTCACTCTCTACCGATCAATCGGTGCTCTCTAAACATGCCGATCGCGAGAGCCGATCGCATGACGTAAAATACATGACACTTTTCTCTGTGCGCGGCAAAACAAGCTCGCCAAAATGGCTTCACCAGTCTGGCATTATTTGAAGGTGTCCGAAAAAGACAGTAAAATAGCGGTATGCAACGTGTGTGTGAAGCAGAAATCCTGCAGCTCCACCCGCTGTGACGGACCGGTGAGCGGAGCAGAACACACAAGAGTTAGACCTAACACACTTAGCTATTTTATCTACCTCTGGAACAAGCTAAACTAGTTATACATATATTTATTCTTCACTGTCGGGTCACTCATTACTGGATCAGTGAGCTGCATGAGACGATACTGACAGGCTGTCAGGAGGGGGAGAGAGGAAAAGAGAGCGCTTCCGCTCATTTCTCCCGTGGTATTATCCAAAGTTAATGTAAACTTGAATAATGTACATCATTTGAATGTAATAATTAAGTTGATTGTTGTTTGTGGAAGCTCCAGTGAATGAGCCCCATTAACTGAGTTTTAAACATCACTTTAAATGGAAGATTTAAAGTGATGTTTAAATCTTCCATTTAGGCCCCGCCCACTCGATCGGATCGGCGATCGGTATTGGCCGATACTGATTCCGGTGATCGGTGATCGCCCCCAAAATTGGCGATCGGAGCATCCCTAGGCGTAATACACAATTATGACAGCTGATAATGACCGAAAAGTCTTCTTTAAGGAAACATTTATTTGGTACAGATCTTCTTTAAAAAATCACACCATGATCCTTATAATATATTTTGAATGCTAAAAGAAAATTCTTGCAAAAATATCTAAATCCCACCTATATATCTTCAAATAAACGGTGATCAGTAATGTTAGTTTACATTTCACCAAGCCGTGGAGTTTTCTCTGCTGCTGCTGCTCACAGCCAGACTTCAGATTTCAGTCCAAATCACCACTCACCCGTTTGAAGGGGAGCTTTAGGCGGGGACTTTCCCTGCCAGCGATCGGCTAAAGGGATTGGTTATGGCACTCTGCGAGTCAGGCTGTGCTGGGAGACAAACCGTTTTAAGTCATTGCTCTGCCAGTGACCCTGTTCCTTCACCCTGATACTGTGTGAAGGAAGGAAAGCTGGTGGGAGGATGGAACTGAAGGGAGGGACTCTGGAGAGAGAGAGGTGGGGAGAGAGAGAGAGAGAGAGAGAGAGAGAGGGGGAGGGTTGTGGTAAAGAATGTGGGGGAGAGGAGACTAGAAAGTTCCTCTGTTATCTCTCGCTCTCTCTAACTTGCATATGCACCGCCTCTCCTTGACATTTCTCATGCCTCATAGAGCCTGAATTTCCATGAAAAACCAAGCACAGAACAGAATAATGACTTTAGTGAGTGCGTGTAAATGTGACCTCACACCACTCTTCATTTACATAACCAATCACTTCATTCAGCTGCACATATACATATGAATTGTTTAAAAATGGAATAAATGCTGGTAAAATAGTTGTGGAGAAGTGGATTACTTGTTACATGAAATTGCTTTTGATATTGATCTCTTTTTAAAAACAATTGTTATTGCCTTTTATGTCATTTCAGCACTGGCTTGACATTACAAAGAGTATCAAAAAGCAAGTGAAAAGTAAGTACACGGAGGCACACCCTCTATCAATGTATTCTCCCCTCCCCCTAATATGCATGATTACTAACTTTATCTATAAACATATTATGTAAATAACTGCGCTGTGTACACTTCTGTATGATTAGGCAGAAGTGTACATTATTTGTCCTTGTATATCACAATGTCTTTGTAAGTGAATGTGGTTATGTATCTGGTCTTGAAGAGAAGTTTATTCAAAAACTATTTCACCTTGTTTTTTTTAGTTACCAAATAATATGATTGTTGAGCTTGATTCAATTTATTGAGCTGTATTTTCAATGTGTCTTCCAGTTGGACCACCATACTGCCTTCACCTGAGAGTTAAGTTTTACTCCTCAGAACCCAACAACCTGCACGAGGAGCTCACCAGGTCAGTTACACAGACATCTGAATCGCTAGCCTTGCTTTTCCTGGAACTCACAATTTAAAGCCAAAGTAATCTGGTTGTTTCAAGGTTCTTTATATTGAAAATCTGTAAATCTTATACATCTTAAAGAAAGTCAGTATTATGTGGGGTTCCTGCAAGGTTACTTAATTGTGTTTAGATTAGATCCACCTCTACTTTAGGGGTTGTAAGAAGGATCTTTTGGGGATACTTATCCATTGATCCATACACAAAATGTATTTTACTTCTGTGTACCATGCGACCTCTTAAGCCTGAATTATTTTCTGACTCATTTGATGAACATATTTAACTGTATTTCACTTTTTTCCAGATACCTTTTTGTGTTGCAGTTAAAGCAAGATATCCTCAGTGGCAAGTAAGTAATTTCCTTTTTAACTTTTAACTGCCTCTCATATTAATCAAGTTCCCATGATACTCCAAATAAATGAACCATTATGTGGGTGTAGCTTGTCAGTTAAATATTCTTTCAGTTGGCAGTAGAAAAGAAACCTTTCAAATCAAATAATAATGATCTACAATTCTAAAACTTCCATTTAAAAAAAAAAAAAAAAAATGTCCTTCTAGTAAGACCTAGCGAACACTTATCCAATAATTGAAACAACCTTGAATTTTTGACTATTTGCTTACATGTTAGTTCGCACACTCAGAGTGGTTTACATAGCCCTGCACAGTGTACAAAACCAAAACGAAGTCAAAATGTTATTGGCCCATTAACAGTAATAGATTGGTGCAGTGATGACATATTGTTTTAGTCTGAACAGGAAGTTAGCATCGCAAGCTAGCATGTTCTCACGACAAAGACAACTTTTATTTTTCCATTGGATTTTGGAATATTGCACAAAAAAAACGTTGGCTAACACGCACTTATGATATTTAAAAGTTGTGTTAATTTGTTGATATTATCCTGCTGAACAAAGAGTGTATGATTTTGAAGCATAAATGCAATCACTAGAAGTAAAAAGCTAACGTTAGGCTAAAAGATATTAAATTAGCTTTGTGGAACCAACGCTAAGCTAAAGGCGGCTAATGTTCGGTGTGATGACGTTTAGTGTCATTAAGCCACTAGTTGGCAACAGACGTTTTAAGATAAAAAGGTTTGAATATCCATCAGTGGGATATTTACTGACATATTTTATGTCGTAGAAATACAACGTTGAAATCTCTTATTTCAAGCATCTAACCATTAAAAATGTGTTGACTTCGAGATGAAGGAATCGGGAGTGCTAAAATGCTGACTCGTTGCCCATCTGTCCTGCAATTTAACCGAGTATTTCACACTACTATCTACTAAGACTTGAGCAGGACAATACACTGTACTGCCATCATCAGTAAGTATCCCTCTAAACATGAGGTGTACTGCCATGTTACTATAAGAGGCTTACAGGGATTACATGTTGGGGAACAGATTGAATTATAAACAGTAGTCGATAAGTAGAAGGGAACATAAGTGTACGTTTTTACTACAAAAAGGAAAGATGTTTGCATTGTTTGGCTGCACAAATAGGCCTCAGTGAAGAACAATGGGAGGGTTTTAATGGCCTATGGTTGTGTTTTATCTTTATTGATGTTGCTGTGTCTGACTCTCCCCCTGTCTTTGTTTTCAGGCTAGAATGTCCGTTTGACACAGCGGTGGAGTTGGCTTCCTTCTCGTTACAGGGTAAGCACAACAGGCTTCTCTCCATCTGTGCGTTTGTTAATTGGGTTCACCTCTGTAATAGCTGCCATTATTTTGTATGCTGCGGTGCACACTCCTCTGCAGAGCTGAGATATGAACTGTGTTCACTGCACAGAGGCCACAAAAATACAGCTTCTGCTTAGACAAGTGAGTGTGGTGTGAGTCAGTCAAGCATCAGTTTTAGGTTTGAGCACAATACACTCACACACCAAGTAGTCTGGTGGTTTTCAATCTGCAGTGACTAAGTCCCTTTCCTACAAGCTACTTTATGTTTGTCCATATGGCTTAAATCTGGTAAAGTTCCTAACCCCTGAACCTACTTTGTAACTATTAAAGCTATAACGTATGTCTCCAAATCATAGTTGAGCAGCCCACTACTCACCAGACAGTCATTTACTCATAATCCCCATCAATGTATAAAGTGTTGGAGGCAGAGCCCGTTCATTCCTATGGAAGTTGCTTAGAGGCACAAAAATCCCCTGACCCCCAAACATTTCCCGATCTGAACCCATAGAGCAGGCATGCTTGCGTTTTCATTCAAGTCCCTTTTTGCAGCATCACGTCCGCTCTCGGCTCATCCAAATGAATGGACAATTCATTCTTTAACACATTTACAACTTTAAGCACCTAATGATTGTTAAAAAGTAAATGTGGCCAAGAGGACGTCACGTCAATGTGATTGAGTACCACTGTTTGGCTACTGCTAAAATGTGCGCCTGGCTCACTTCCAGTTGGTTTTATTGTCCCCTTATGTCCCAAATGCCATATTCTTTTCAAATATCTTATAAGTGTATAGATACCAAATCCTTGATTGTGCTTCTTGTAAATTCTGCAATACAGCCTATCCCTACTATTATTATTTATTACATTTTATTTTTTATTCCCCTGGAAATAATTACTGCACTTTATTCCTACATAAATATGTATGCTGCGTGTATTTGTTGTCTTATGTTGTGTTGTTTTTGTTTTGATGGCACCTTTTAAAAGGGAGAAAAGCTCATTGTACATGTATAATGACATTAAATGATTCTATTCTATGCTATATTTAGTCTGTTTGTTCCCTAATATGATGAAATATATTGGGGAAAAAAGTATTGTCTCATGGGCTCTAAATATAGTTTACAGCAGAACCATTACTTTGGTCACAACATGTTTCATACTACTGTTCCTCTCACTTTTATGAATGAAGTAATAGTGTCAGGTAAAGTGTATGCATCGGAAGAAATATTATCTCCTGTTTCCTGGCAACATTTGCTTATCAAACTTCAGTGTAACGTTAAGAGTAATCAGAGCAATTTATGTTTCCATACCGGCAATACGGTTACATGTACGAATGCAGAAAATTCACATATTTACTCTTTCTAATAGTAAGAAATGTAGCTGTTTACTGCATAGCAATACAACAAGTGCTGCCTCAGAGGAACCAAGTTTGATTCATTAGAGACATTTCATGGAATGAGATTGCGTGCACAAACTCTTGAACACACACACACACACACATCCACACACAGTGGCTGTGGGGCAAATGCCAGCTCATTAGTGCTCCATCCTCTTCGGAGGCCCCCTAATCCAGCACCCTCTCTGTCTTCTCTCTTTCCTTCGGTTCAGCTTCCTCCCTTCTTTTTCCTTTATTCAGAATGATGTGTTGGTCCACTGACAGTCGCCGGGATAGGGAAAGGATAAAATCGTTTTTTCCCTCTCGTCTATAACTTGAGGCTATGCTCACAGCTGGACTGTTCAAACAGTGAGGTCCTAGTTTCTCTTATCTGCCCAGACACTGCAACATGTAATCAGAACCAAGCCTTTTCAGTCTGTCCTGTTTCTCTACACCACATACCAGAGATAAGATTTTTTTTCCCACTTCCCTTTCAACGCACCATTTTCCTTCTTATTTAGGAAAGATTTTTGTTTTTTTCCTTTCTGGGTTTGTCTTTTTGTCACTTTAATATCTATGACCTCTGACGTGACGCTACATAACATTATGTGCGCTAACTTTAACGGATGATTTCTTTATTATAAGGTTGGTTAGGATTAACTGCTACCACAATATCAGGCACTCTCCTAGGCTTCCTCTTCCGAGCAATTTACATACACCTAAATACCGTATACATTCCTATTGGACTGCGGGGGTTGGGATCGAACCACTGACCCACTGATTGGTAGATCAGTGCATTAACATCCCTACAGCCACCCCACTAAACTACAAATCTATGTGGTGAACCTGTGTGTCTTAAAGTGTTTATCTTTGTGTATTTCAGCTGAACTTGGCGATTGTGACCCATTAGAACATAATCTGGACCTGGTGTCAGAATTTCGCTTCATCCCCAACCAGACGGAGGACGTGGAGCTAGCAATATACAACGGATGGAAGGATTGCAGGTCAGCATGTCACGAAAACTCTTTTTTTACTTCCATTTATATTTAAGTACATATTTTCCAAGAGGGTAACAACAAGTAGCGCTCCTTACTTTCTTTGTTTGCTTAAAGGACTTGGACTTCTTTAATCAGATATTTTTAACGCAGTATCTTTTAATGTATTATTGTTACCCACAGTTCTGAAGACTTGTCTGGCTTCTGATGGTGGCTTGTGGTCAAAATAATATAAAATCATTTCCACTCCCATTCAACAAACGAAATAGGCCTTTTCAATTGTCAAATCAAAACAAGAGGCAAAACTCGAGAACATGATAAACAAACTTAGATCGTCTTTCCTTCTGTTATATTATGCGTGAAATAATTAAACGGCCTTGCCCCTAAAATGACGAAATTCCAAGCCTGGTTGCAACATGACATGGTTCGATAAATATATATTTATTTAATTATCTTTTTTTTCTTCTTCTTACTCCTGATGGATTCTCTCTATCAGACTCACGATACTCAACCCAGGTGTTAATATTTATGCCCATAGTGAATATTATGGTTCCAATAATGTATTTTATTACAGAGAAGTAGCCGTTTTACTATAACTAAACTACTGCACATACTGCGTCTCATCACTGCATGGTTACTTCTGCTTTCAATTATTGTGGCTTGAAGCTGCCATTGTGTTTTTGATCATGCACAATGTCAATCATGTTTTGTTTCTCCCCCCCCTTCTCCCCTCCTCTCCTTCAGAGGTCAGATGCCGGCCCAAGCTGAAATTAACTACCTGAATAAAGCCAAGTGGCTGGAAATGTATGGGGTGGACATGCATATGGTCAAGGTAACTGCCACTCACTCTTTCTCACTAGCATGTACTGTAAAAGCTGAATTGGAAGTGCCCTCTATGAAAGAGGGGAAGTGAAAAAGAATATGTGAGAGGCTAACAAGTATCTTCTTTTTTTCTGCAGGCTAGAGATGGTAACGAGTACAGTCTGGGTTTGACACCCACTGGAGTTCTGGTGTTTGAAGGAGAAACAAAGATCGGGCTCTTCTTCTGGTATGTTTGTTTATTTTTCATTTATTTGTATCCTTAAAAGAAACACATTTTTCAGATTTCATCAATCCTCCCTCTCTGTGTGTTTATTTGTTTTGGACATATGTGTTGTAGGCCCAAGATCACCTGTCTGGATTTCAAGAAGAGCAAACTGACTCTGGTGGTAGTGGAGGATGATGACCAGGTGAGCGCACACGCACATGCACATACACATACACATACACATACACACACACACAGATTCTAGGCATACAGTGGAATGTTAAAAATGCCAAACATGCATTCATTACTCACAGTAATCCCTCTTGACAACATGAATGACCCAATCTAAATGCTCCCTACATATTGTATGTAATGAATGTACTGTATTTACCACACTTAAATCACCCAACGTAAGTGAATTACTAACTAATAGCAGTTAATTATAGATGGTATCATAAGCATTTTAAGCAGGTGTGGATTGTTTCATGCTGAATGACTTATTTCCAAGAAACTTATAAACACATGGAGAAAGTTCGTCAGTTTTACAGATCTTTTAATTAAATCAATTTGTCTTTCAGGAAAAACAAAGTGTTAGTGCTGGTCGACTAAGAATGTATTTATTGGGAGACAGCTCTTGTAAGAATATACATCTTTTGTTTGTTCATTGTGTAGGAAGCTATTCACATGGGTCATTCATTACTAATGAGAGATGCACAATTTGAACAAAAGTAACATCATTTATAATGGAATATACAATTATATTTAAATGCTCCAAATAAGGATGTTTTTTTAAGTCTGTAGAATAGGATTAGTAGCCCGGGACTTCTATGTTGCTGTACAACTTAATTCAGAATAATTACTAATATTTACCTTTGACTTATTATTGCGTTTAATGCGATTTGGATTGTCCATATTGTCATTTCAATAACAATTTGATTCATTTTGTAGGCCTACAACCAATGTCAACGATTGTCTGCATCATACATAACATCTGAGCACAGTATCTTAGTGAAAGCAAGTTACGTTCAGCTGATGTCCTCCAGGAAGTGCAAAATATTTAAAACTTGATATTACTAAAATTGTAAAAACAGCTTGTAATACACCGTCCCCGTCATATCTGAGCATTTCGAATAAAAGGAAACAATTGAACAAGGTAAATCTCAACATTTTACAAATAATAAGCAAAGCATCCAAAAGTCTGTCCCATTTTTTTTAAAGCAATAAACTAAGAAGGTTATTCTTCCTAAAACTTTTGTCTAAAGCAGTGCCTGAGCCCTGAAAGAGGCTGCTTCCAAATCAAAAGGCAACAAGGCTTAGTATTGTACTGCCCAGAGGCTAGTGTATATGAGAGAGAAGGAGAGTCTGTTTATGTCCAACCTGGAGGTCTGTCAGTGAGGTTAATAAAGAAGCCTGCCCCCTCTGGTATTTCTGGTATGCACCTTTCTCCTACACAGAAACACACACTTCTTGTATCCCAGCTCTGTCCTAAAGAGCTATGTTGTATGCCAGTCTTTTCCCAAAAATGTTTTAATGTGCATTATTACATTTTCTTGAACTACATTCTGACCTGGAGGATGGTTGTCTTGCTTCGGGGCAGCACTTGTATATGCAGCCATTGATTCTTTACACATTACTCTCCTTCCACAAGGGAGAGTTGGCACATACACTTTGTAAATATATGTTGGGCTGAAGGAGTTTCAAATGGGTGACAAACACTGCCATGGTTGCAGGATAAACTCTAACTGCTGATGTCCACCTTGTAAAGAACATGTTGTATGTCTCTTAAGTGAGAACTTATCAACTCTTCTGTGTCGCCCAAATTTGACAAACGATCCTTCCCAGGGCAAAGAACAGGAGCACACCTTTGTCTTCAGGATGGACCACCCTAAGGCCTGTAAGCACCTGTGGAAATGTGCCGTGGAGCACCATGCTTTCTTTAGGCTGAGAGGGCCGGTACAGAAGAACTCAGCCCAGTCCGGATTCATCCGCATGGGGTCACGCTTCAGATACAGGTAACAGACAGATGTACAGGCAGATCAAAGGTTTAAAGATGCTTTTGAATTAGGCACTTATTGTTTTCTTGCGCAAGTTAGTACAAAAGGTTTGGGATATCCTTTTGTATAAAATACACAGGGCTTATTAAAGTTCTCTTGCAATATTTAAAGGGGCCCTAGTATACTGTTGGGGTTCTCCCTTTCCTGTAGTGTTATAGGTTATTGTTCATGTAAATGGTCTGCAAAGGCGTGTCTCTAACACAGCTCTTTCTCTTGAGCTGTATCATAACAAATGGTGCATTCTAGTGTGTTGTGGACTGCACATTCTGAGCACTAGTGACTTAAAAAGAGACTAGTTGAGAAAAGCGTGGAGAACAAATGCAGCTGGGATTGCTTAAAAGGGGGAGGGTAGGAGGTGTGGAGATGGGTGTGTTGAATGCCACAGAGAGCCGTGTGTTTGTTTCTGTACTGTGTCTCAACCTACAAACAAAGATAATCCTAGATTGATGTGTAAAAAAACACGTGCGTAGATACTTGCATTGGTACAAGACAGGCACTCAATGTCAACATGCTGCTGCGGCCAGCTAGCTCCCTTCTGTGTGTTTAAACATAACCCAGTTTGGATTAGCATCGGCAGTAATGTTGGTTTTACACAGAGGTTACAGGGTTTTGTTGTTTATAGATGGTTATCGCTCGGATGGGTCTGGAGTTCACCAGGGGTCAATGCTGGGCCCTTTTTTTTTTTTCTTAACAAAGAATAATAAGAAAATGTCTGTTGCATTAAATTCTGCGTTGCTCAAGGTTACAATTATAGTGTTAATATATTTTTGTGTTTCCAGTGGAAAGACGGAGTATCAGACAACCAAGGGCAATAAAGCGAGGCGGTCAGCATCTTTCGAGAGAAGGCCCAGTCGACGTTACTCCAGAAGAACCATGCAGAACAGAGGTGAGGACAGCACTCAAACTCACTCTTGCAAAGCTGTGTATATAACAATATCAAAACGTAAAATATATTACATGACAAGCACTTGTTAACATACCATCAACTTATACTGTGAGATATTACCCTTCTGTATATTTATATTTTAGAATCTTTCTGAACTGTCTGTTCTTTGTGTTTTCACAGGACCATACCATCCCCAAGAGTGAGTACACTGATATTTAAACAATGTTACCATGCCATTCCCTGATAAAATTACCTTACTCTTATCAATTGTTGTAGCATCTTTGCTGTGTAGTCCTGTTTTTAAAATAACATTGTAAAGTCAAGCACTGGAAAACACTTAGTCGAAGGTCATATAACAGTTTCTACAGTGCTTAACGTGCTGTAACTCACACACAAACAAACACTCTAAATTCATTCAGTTCCACCATAAGCCTTAATTTGTAATCTTGTTGCAGAAGTAGCCTTTTGTTACATGGGGTGTGTGTGTGGGATAAAGACATGATGTCAGTGGTAGTTTTAAGCCGTCATGGGACCAGTTGACTCAAAACATTGTGATGTTTAATTCTTCTATGACCTTGTATCATACCTTATTGGATAGGTAAGGTCCTTTTTGGAGGCAAAAAAATATTAATTTTGTTGAGAAGGATGTAGCTTTGCTTTCATATGTAAGGATTGTGAGCAAACTGGCTCAAGGAAAACCTGGTACATTGAAAAAGTATTGTCATTACATTTTAACATCTATGAAAAAGCATTGTGGGAGACTTAAAGAGACCTTCATCTTTTATGTAATATTCATAATTCTTGCAAAGTGTTTACAATTTGTTCTTTGAATAAAATCTAAATGTCTTTCTTTGCTCAGGATTCTCACCTCTGGCAATGGCTTCAGCTCCAGCAGAGTACACAAGGTGAGAAGCAAGATCCCTGTGTTTATTCAAATCCTTACTCCATTATACAGAAAGCTATCATTTCTGAGTTACAGAAACTCAGAAATGAGACCCAAAGTATCCAGTCAAAATCCAAATTGAAGTAGGATAAAAGGCCAGTAATTGTAGATCTTTTACAAAGAATTATTTTGTATGATTAGTGACAGCTAACATAAAAAAGTCTAGAACTATCTATGACAACTTACAATGAAAAGTATAATAATTCCTTCCCTTTTCTCAACATTTTCAATACCTTCCAATCTCATCCTTCTTTGTGGCCATCACTTTACCTCTACCATCCTTACTCTCTGACATATGTTTTGTTTTTCTTTCCGCCTACAGGCTCCCATTAGAGGTGCACGGTCAGCTGTGCCTGTGGTCAGCCCTGTAGCTGCTTCTGCCTGTGCACCCATGGAAATCGAGGCTCTACCCAGAAGTCCTGGAGGGGAAAAGCGGAGGTTGGTACCGGAGTTCAGAATCAGTTCTTTCCAAAGCCTGCTTATTTTTTGTTATTTTTTACATTTTTTAAACTCACCTTTCACTTTATATTTGTTGAAATGTGCTCCAGGCCCGTACAATTCTGAGCTTTAAATGCCTTTTAGAGAGTGGATAGGTGATTAGATGGATGGATATTTTTGAGTTATTAGGGTAAGAGTTAGTATGTTAATATGCCTTATGCCATTGACGACTGACAATCGTACTCACTGGCGAACAGGACCAAGTAACTGAAGGTTTGGGTGGGACTAAAGGCTCCCGTTGGTTGCTGACAGTGGCTCCATAGCTAAGTGTGTTTTTCATGTTCTAATGACACAAGAGTGGCTTAACATGGCTTATCCACTGACCCTGTCTTGCTGTGACTAGGGAACACACGGAAGAAAGAGAGGAAGGCAGACGCAGAGTATTTGTGTGTTTTGTTCTATTTCCTACCTGCACATCTCTTCCATGCGTGGCTGTTCGAGTTAGAAGTCGAAGTCATTGCATTTACTTGTCACGCATCATGTACGTTGAGGTGTTCTCAGATAGGTTATCGCATGCAGAAGGGAGCTTTATGCATGGGTCTGCATTTATGGGTGTTGCTTGGTAAAGTACAGCAGTATCAGATGGTAAAGTACAGCAGTATCAGATATTGAAATTCATAAGTACAATATTTAGCCAGGTGGCATATTCAAGCTAAAGAAAGATGGATGCAGTTAATATTATTATTATTTTTATTTAGATTTGTATATCACTTTCAACCGCTATCTACCCCATCTCAAGGTTGATAAACAATGGTATGGCTCATCACACTTGGAAAGTTTTGATTCTGCGTACAATTTGCACCAAATGTAGGCACATGACCTAATTTAAATATGTGCAATAGCAAAGGAGCACCTAGAGACTATTTGCTTTGCTGCGCTATAGGGATGCACTTTGAGAATTACATGGTTTCTTTTTGTCTGTTTTTACTGAATGTTTTCCCCCTTTCTTCAGTCAGTGTATTCTTCTGAACAGTGTGTGTTTATACATTTAATATTGGCCTGTTTTTAGCCTGGGATATTTCTGTTATATATCGATGCATTTTCATGTGTTTTAAAGTGTGTGTGAATGAACAAGCAAAACAAACATCTATGAACTCTCCTCTGTTATAAACCTGCAATGTCCCCCTGTGTGTTCCAGTATTAGCATGTACTGAGGACAGAATGGTCTTGTGTGGAACAGGCCAGGTAGGTACCAACGAACCTCGCCATCGCTCTGGCTTTAACCAATCAATTGCTGTGCAGTGTCGGGCTTTCTGATTTTTGGCTTGGAAAAGGGTTTTCTTGCGATGGAATCGTCTCCTGTGATTTGCTGTCTTGTCCGCTTTTGATCAGCATGAAATGCCAAGCTAACTGGTGTTGGAAATATTATGATTTATTTTTTCGGGTGCTGTGCTGGGTTCTTGCTACTTGCGTCTTTAATCAATGACATGACATGATTTCAGCTTTGGATCTGTTCAGTTGAAGGCTTTGGTGCATTCAAGTTTGTAGACGTCTTTTACTTTCAGTTATCTAATGTCATGCTGTGCATCCTGTTAACCATATTTAAATCAGAAGTTATCTTTTTAAATGGTTCACAACATATTTTGACAACATTTGGAAATGAGTGGACGTTGCCAATAAATCTACAGCCTATATAATTAGTGATGCTAAAGCATTACCAAAACAGATTTTAGATTTACGCTGGTAAGAAAACATGACGTGTTTTGTTTTTTTTCAGTGTAAAGTAGGTACTCATACTTCCCCATAAGACTTATCAAGCTTCTAGGGAACAAAGCTAATTCAGATTTACAGCTCAGGCTGATCCTGTTTCTAGTAAAGAATAGTTCTGTTATACTAAGAGGATTGCCAGTTATAGGAGCAGGAGCCTTTTCTTTGTTATGTATTAACCTGAGAAACAGGATGCACAGATATGACCTTGGATCGAGCCGTGCATAGAGAGATCGATGACCTATTGCCATTTTTTTTCTGTATCCTCCTCTTAGAATTTGTTGCTCGAAGGTTAAACCGTAAATCCTAAAGGCTACAGAAATAATTATTTTTGTTGTCAGGAAAAAATATGAATATTGATTACATTTTCATTGACACAACATTCAGGGCATACAAATCCGTATTTATCTATATACGTCAAGGCTATGACACAACAAGTTTTTCTAAAACTACTAAAAGTGAATATCAGAAATAATTCAAAGTTCTTTACACCGATAAATAAATAAAAAGTCTCACAATGTGGCAGCAGTTACAGGGGACAGGAGGAGGATGCTTTGAAAGAGACTATACCGCTAATATTTGCGACTAATTCCTGGTGCTCTTACCTTTCTCATTCCAATCCTTTCTCCCTTTCTTTAATTACATTGTGTTCCTGCATGCATCAGTATAGCCCTTGGCTGTTAAATCTTCTCTATCTCTCTGTCTGTGTTACTTCAACTGCACAAATGAAAATAATTACTAATATGCTTAAGCCTATACAATTATGATATGATGCCTTTTATACTTATAATATAATCCAAATGATATATAAAAAAATATATAAAAACAATTATGAAGCATAATGAGGGGGGTAATATTTTAGGAATTAAATCTGAATTTAATGTTGTCTTAATTAAAGTGATGAATGTGAAAGGGAATCACTCAAATGTATAAGAAAAATACTAGCATGTCTTTTTTGCCTAGGAACCATGTGCCACTATAATTGGATCAACCTTATCACACCGAATTATAATTTTTCTTTAACTAACATACCACTCATCTCAGAAAAGATTCAAGTTATTTTTCCTAAATGTAAAACTTTGTCTGAATATTGCCCCCATCATACTGGTTCCGTACTTTAATGTTTTTTACCTAAAGTGGCCCTTGTATGCTGTCGTAGCAAACGGCTGTATTACTTTGTCATGTAGTGCTGTGTCTGTGTTTGTTGCCCTCTCTCTGACCCTTTCCTCACTCTCTTGCAAACTGCTCCACTTCTATATCCTTCACTAAGCCATTATAATAAGTGAGTAGATAACTTTACATTAATGCCTTTGGAATAAGTTCATCACATTTTAATCTCCATTGCTAACAAGAGGAAATGGGAACATTTAAAAAGGTCAATATAAGTTCATCCCCCGTAAATCTAGTCAAAGATCATTGGGTTAGTCACTGTTTAACGGTGGAAATGGGAAACTGTATGCTCCCTTGCCTCTTGTGTTCCCAGTGGAGCTGTCATCATGAATAACAGCTTCTGGATCAGGGCCTCCAGCTCTGAATATATAAACGCAGTTATGACATAGCCATCAGCTGCCAGAGGTGAAAAGCCAGGTCACTGATGCTCCAGAGACACCCAGTCCACTTCACTCCGCTCAAATGTGCAAGTCACACTTGTCAAAGCACACTTAAATGCACGCCAGAGCACAGTGTAACTGAATAAATGTACCATAAGTTACATGTCTTCTACATTAACCTGACACGCCGAGCTTATCACAACCATGAACACCTCATTTATTTATTCATGCTGTGTTATGCCCTCTAAAATAAAATGTTGGTTAAGTTGTAGTACAACAATGAAATAATTTCCTATGTTAAAATTAAAGGAGCTCCTAAAATAATTATAGAAAATCAAAACCCAGTTTATTTCCCAACTTATAAAATATTGACGGCTATCACCGTCTGGTACAGGGGAACCTTTTAGCGTCTATATGAGAAGTACTGGGCCTTTAACTGACTCCAATGTAAACCAATCATCATTATTAGACAGTTGAAGCAAAATACTTTTAAGTGCGAGAAAATCAGGAACACGTGTCATGTACCAATATCACAACAATCTTTTCTTAAGCCTAACACTTACTTACTAAACATACTTTAGTTACTAAACTAAAGTCCTTTTTCTTTCCAAAATGATCTTTTACCAAGCCAAACACTTTTGTTGCTTAATCCTAACCAACACCAACGGAAATTGACTCGACACAACCAAAACTGATAAATCACAATTTAAAATGTACCACTGATCAAACATTGAAATTGACCAGATAGGAGTGAGAATGTGCTTCTTTAATCTTTAAAGATGAAAAAGGTTGTCTAAATGTCAAGCCATATGCAATGAACTACACTTAAGAGAACCAAGCTTTTCATCAGCTACCTCACAAATCTCTTCTCCTGCCTCTCTGCCGTTTCTCTTTTCATGTCTTTCTTTATATCTGAGTTACACAACGTATGTCACTGTTATCTCTCCCACCTTCATTTGCATACAATCAGCTTCTCTTTGCTGTTTTCATTCAAAGCTTCCCTTCCTTTCCCGCGCCAGTATTGCTTTCCAGTTTACTGTACCTACATTCTCACTCACCCCCATCTCTTTACACCCCCCTCCTGTTTGTCCACTTCCCTCCACCCTGTTCTCCTCAGGTCTCCTCTTCCCTCCACCCTTCCTGCTCATACGTCTCATCAAAGCTTCCAACATGAAGTCAGACCGATCCGAAGAAAAGACAACGGTCTCACCCTTTGTACTGACATGAAATGGACGGCAAACTGATAAATGTGCTCAGTGGGGACTCACCCTTGAACAAAACTTGTGGTATTTGTGGTTGTGACCGTACCACATGGAAGGAGACATTTGGTGTGAATGAAGCCGTGCCTTATTTACTGAAACATTCCTCAAAACAAACAGCTGAAAGTATCACAGATTCTGGAAACTCAGACTCTCACATCCCTTTCCGAGTCTTCGTTTCCTCCTCTTACTTCTATGTTCTCCATAGAGTGGTGCAGGAATTAGTCCTTAAACCTGGAAACGAATTATAATTTTAGCACTTCCAATTCACTCGTTTTATCAATGCGTTTTTGGTTGGATGCCAGAAAATAAGGGCTGTGGTTAACACAAACCTAAGTACATTTAACGGTTTATTCTATGACAAAAGTGATGTCAGTAAATACTCCTTTGGTAAATCTCAAGCTTGTGTGTGTCTTTAAAAGCGGCTAAAGAGGACTAGCAAACATCGTCATGCCGAACATTAGCTTTCTTTAGCTTAGCGGTCATGACATGCGACTGATGACGGTTTGTTTGTAGATGTAAACATTAGCCATTTACTTCTGGCAATTGTATTTACAATTTAACATCATAAAAGCATTGTTAATATATGGAGATTATGCTGCCGAACAAAATGTGCAAGTATCATAAAAGTGTGTTTGCCAAAGATCTTATTTTCTGCCACGTTTAGAAAATCCAATAGTAATAACCCCAATGCTTTTTGTCCAGCCCTTGCAATGCTGACTACAAAAATACGTCGTCCCTGCACCACTTTATTGATTCTCCTTCTACACATCCTTTCTGTCCTCTGCCCTTCACTCTTAACCCTCATGGTGAAACCAGCCTGCTGGGGGGGGGAATGGTATCGATGTCAGGCTTAGGAATTCGACTCCACTCTGCAAGGAAACAATAAGTCACATAGTTCCAGGAAGGTCTAACTAAGCCCTCTTCTGTTCTCATTGCATTTCTCTCCAAATGAGTTTTGTGTTTCTTATAATATTCCAAACACTCGCTGTTTAAATTAGCTCATGAAGTGATTTTTTTTTAGTTTTTTAGTAAGAACATTTGATTTTCTCTATTTTGTATTTAATCTGATCTGCACATTTCAAGGATCTGCTGCTCTGTTTTTAAATGAAAGTTGGATGAGAAGGTTAATATGTTAAGTTGTAAGCCTAGCTTGGCGCAAACCAAAACAATTGAAGCAGGTCAACAGAGTTGTTTTGGCTCTGTCAAAGGTGCTTTTCCAGAATCTGAATGTATTAAGTTTGCACATTTTTTGTGTGTTTTGAACACATTTTAGAAATGCTAGAGGCCTTTTGGAAAGAAGCAGTTGGTCCATGCTTTAAGCTAGCCTTAAAGCCCTATTATGCTCTTTGGGTTTTTCCCTTCCCTGTAGTGAATGGTCTGCAAAAGCTAAGCGCCCCAAGTCGTCGTCGTCCCCCCCCCTTGCCTGAAATGCCATGATTGTAGTCCTTTTTTTAATTCCGTAACATAGTGAAATGACTATGTAACACTTGCGCTTCTATTGGCTGGCGCTCGGACACATTGTACGTGATATGCGGGACATCTCCAAGTGGTTGACCAATCACAACAGCAGACTGGTCTCTGGTTTCAGACAGAGGGTGAAAAGAGGTGCTGAAGCACAGGCAATATGAGAACAATTCAGACTTTTCTGAACATTAGAGCATTGGAACATGTCACAGTAGAGGCACAACATACTAATATGAACCTGAACATGAGCATAATAGGGCCATTTAACCTATCCTGGACTTAACACTCAGGAATGTAATTCTCACCGACCTTCTCATCCAACTTCTTCCGAGACATCAAACAAGCATAACTCCGTTAAGATGGTTGTAAGTATATCAAAATCAAATGGAAATTATTTATCTACTGTAATTTGTGAACACAACTGCAATGATGTTGGCATAGTTGGGGGGAGTTATTATAATAGCCCAGCCACTAAGGTACTGTTGGGTTTGTCTGAAAAGTCTGTAGAAGGAATCACTTAATGCTTACCTACCGTACAGCTCAACTATTCCACTGTTAGTTGTTTTTATTGCACAGTTCAACCAATGAAGATGATTTTGTAATATTATTGTTTAGTTTAATGTTTACAACATAACTCTGACCAAAGGATGTATATCTTACTGAATGTTTGTTAATAATTCCAGAGAATAAAGACAGGATTACTCTTGATATAGATACAGTATGTAGCATTTGATTTACTTTTATAACGTTATGCTACGGTATACACACTGTTAGAGAACGATAACCAAAGAAATGACTGTCTTCTTTCTTTTGCTGTTACTCAAGTTGTACCCAAGCTATTTAACACATAATAAATATGATTCAAAATCTAGCCACATGAGGTGGGTTGGTATCAGTGGCGAGCCGTCAGGGCCCTCTAGGAGGGCCTAAGATATTCTAAAAAATAATATTTAAAAACATTTAAAAAATATTCTTTTTTTTTTAAATTTCTTTTTTTTTAATATTATTTTTGTTATATTTTTCATTATTTTTACTGAAAAAAAACTTGATTTAATTGTATTTAAAATAACATTTCCAAAGAAATAAATCCTTAGAATCTGCCTGTTCAGTCTCTGTTGAATGTGAAGGGTTACATGAAAGAAGCTCGTCTGGCCCTCTCTGCGATTCACAGAGGGCCCGCTATAGTAACTGAACGAGAGAGTAATGTCAAATGACAGTACAATTGACCAATCATATCTTCCCTCTAAATGGGTGGGTTTTATTATCGCGGACTTTATGACAAGTTCCGCCCGCTGTGAAACTTTTCTTGTTTCCATAGCAACAACAACTTCCTGTGAACTCGCCTTCAAAATAAAAGCATGCCAAATTACACTTAAGACATACAACTGCAACGAAAGTAACAAACACAATGCAATATCATTTTCAATGTCAAAGAACACAAATTGGGTTCACAGGTGTTGTTTTGTATGGTAGAGGGTCGCTGTCATTGATGCGTTTTGCACCCTGGGCCGTTGTTTTGATATTCCGCTGAAGTATACGCTGTGACGTAATAACTATTTTTTTTTCTTTTTTTCGAGGGAATTGGTGGGGGTCAGAGGGCCTAGGTATAAAGCTCACGGCTCGCCACTGGTTGGTATATTGATGCTTTCGTATAGCACAATTACAAAAAAAAAGCATACACAAGGCTACTAGGATTTAACGTGAGAATATTGACTTTTACTTTAAATAGTCCCTATTGTGCTTTTTGGAGTTTTCTCTTTCCTGTTGTGTGTTATATAGGTTTGTGTACATGTAAACGGTCTGCAAAGGCTAAAATCCCAAAGTTCCCTCCAGTGGGAATTTATCTCGTCTTAGTGCTTGAACCTTTGGGGTATTTAAGAAAATATTTATCTCCCAATGAAATCCCTGTTTTTGTAGCCTATTACTTTAAATACATTAAGAACAATGCATTTTGTGTTTTGCTAACATAAGCGTTGGATGCATCCTCACCGTTTCCTTCATGGATACCTTAACATGTGGGAGTGTTTATATATATATATACATTCTATTTGTGAGTCCTCAGGCAACACATTGTACTTTTCTGTGCTTTAGCTCATGTTCTCCACAGGCAGTAATATAGTTCTCATGTTTCACCGTGTCTTCGGGCTACAGAAATATGAGGTAATAAGTACTGCGCTGCTGGAAGAGCTTCCACCATAATCCATGTATCGGATGTTTCGCTTCGGGTCACTTCAAATTCTGAGGATATTACACCACTTTTTTCCTTCCAAAGTTATTGCTTTCTCTGAAGACTTATTTCCAAGTACTGAATCATGCTTCTTAAGAAAACCTTCTTCAGAAATGTTATTTTCTTTCTCCCTGGACACACATTCTCATATGTTTCTAGTAGAAAGGACAGTAACTGCTTTGCTTTTGTACTTTGTTGTTTTCCTGTCAACCGCATTTTCAGGATTGTGGGATTGTCTTGCCAAAACAAATGGATCTTAGAATATATTATATATACAATATATATTGCATGGTTTTAGCTTGGGTTGTTTGCCTTTTGGTTTGTCTGTCAGCATGATTTCAGAAAAAGCATATTGGCCTGGATTTCCTGAAACTTGATGGGAAAATGTCCAATAGGCCAAGAAAGAACCAATTAAATGATAGGACAAAAGCACACATTATGTTTCACTTTCAATAACACTGCAACAATAGGGATTGTGCTGCATTGATGTGGTGTTGGAACAACAGAAAAAATTGGTTCCATCCTGGGAAAATGTACAGAAACAGATATGTTGTTTTAATGCCCTGAGCAATAAAAAGCAACATCCTTCCTTATGAACTCACCAAAGAAGAAAGTGTCCATAACTTTGGGAATGGTACCATCCTAGGAGCATCAAAAGAGACATTTAAATAATCTGCTGCTGTGGTTTTAACAGTTGTTCAATAAGAATGGCAATATTTCCCACTATTTGTAAACATTGAAAGGGTTGTTAGCCTAGTTTAGCACAAAACAAAACAAATTGGAAACAGTAGGATAACGGTTATACTTGCTCTGCAAAGGTGCTTTTCCAAAAATCATTGAATCTTTTTAAATATCTATACTGTTTTTGTGTGTGTTGAACAAGCCTCAACACATCCTGGACTCAAAACTTAGAAAAAAAATGCAGGCTTAAGTGAATTGGAGGTCTCTGCTCTTCGTGTTCCGTTAATAGATATATATATTTTTTATATCATTTTGTTGCTATGTTGATGGGAAGTAATACCAAAATGTGGCCTTGTTCATTATCATGATCCAGTTTTGACATCTTTGCCGAGTCCATTTATGTCTTATGGCTGCTGCAGGTAAGTTGTGCAGCTTGTTGATCCAGAATTATTCTGTTTTATTTTTGTCTAACATTTAAATGATTCCCAACATTGTTTCTGTCTGTAATCATGATCATTTTATAAACCCCAAGTTGATGTGATGCTTATATTATAAACTCCTTGTCTCCTTTTCTCTGTCTCTAGTTTGCCTATTGCTGACCTGATGGAGACGTGCATTGATGATGTCCTCCGGGCTCCTGCCGTCCCCACGGTGACGGCTACAGACGAGGCCGGATCAAGCGGCTCCTACGCCCCCCCCAGTGCCACCGGGGAGGATCCTCTGGGTCTCGCTGGTGAGCGTACAGAAAAACCACAAAGTAAATTCAGACCGTCAAATAAAATGTATTGGAAAATGTTTTACTCGGAAATGTCAAAAGAACTAAAATCTTGTCTTGGAAGCCTCTCAAATAAACCACTTTATGTATGAAAAATGTGTTTCACAAGATAATACAGTGTAGTGACAATGTGTCAGACTACGAGTCACTGACAACACCACTTAGACTCACTCCCATCTTATTTTAATACATCACTGCTTCCCATTCTTCAGTTATTTAAAGAATTGTTTCACTAACATTAACCAAAGAAAGACCCCAGAGATGATGTGTTCAATGATACATAAAACAAATGAAGGAAAGTAAAGCAGGATACTGAAAAGAGGAACATTTAAGGAAACTCATTTCCTTAGTTATGTGTATGTTTTATTGTGCATGCTCTGAAATATCACAATGTAGTTGTATTAAGGTTAATGGCTGTGTTTCTCCAGAAGCAGCAGCCCGTCTGAAGCAGCTAGAGTTGGAGACCAGTCCGCTTCTCACTACCCTGAAGAATAACATCAATGTCAACATGACCATGAATAACCAGGTGGGTAATTGTTTATAAAGTATTTGTGTGTATTTCCAACTTCAACTAAACAATGTCGTTCTTCTAGAAAAAGGCTGGTATCACAAACATGGAGAAATGACCGTACGGATATGATAGCATTTCTTCTGGTTTGTTTAGAAGTTCTATTTTCCTCACCTATTTCTCTCTCATTGTATGGGATGTGTGTGCCTGCTCCAACAGGAGGATGTGGTGAAGCTGACGGAGAAGTGTGCTCTGAACAGCACAGGCAGCAGTCCTGCCGTCACTCCTCTGTGTGTCCCGGAGGAACTGAAGAGTAACATCCTGAAAGCACAGGCCGAGGCTGCTGCTCTCAAGGTGAGGAACAGAGCTTCAATCAAAAGAAATGCTTTGACAGTTGTTCAAATTCTAATAAAACAGACTCGAACAGGGGTCCGTTGTCTGCACTGTTTACCCTTAAATTCAAATGATAAGCCAAAGGGTTAAGTACTGTAGCCTTGCCGTTTTCAGTAATGTTAGTCCTACAATTCAGATAGTGCTAATATGATCCGTGAAAAGTCAAACTGAAGTGAGGGATATTATCCATGCTTATTTTCTTGTCATAACCTTTTGATAGTTAGAGGGTACAATTATTTTAAGTGCACTCTTTGTGCTGGGTACTTTCACTTTTAATGCTGCTAAAGGCTTTTAAAACTAAAATCTGATAATTTCATGTATAAAATAATGGAATTAATCTAGGGTCTTGGTTTTCTAACTTTCAAAACAACCCTTTTAAGCTCAAACAGTGACTACTTTTACATGAACAGTATTATTTTCAATTTGAAAAGGGTCATGCAAATAACATATTCAGTGTCTACTATGAAATATTTTGTATGAAGCATTTTCTGATCAAGGCGTGGGGTTTGCCAGATTTGGATAATATTTCCTTTTTCAGAGCATTCTTTGGGAATGTATAAAACACATTTAGTACTTGTGTCTCGATCAAGGGTTTAATCGCAGTTTCCGACACACAGCCTCATGACTGTTTACAGCCAGCTCTTTTTTAAACGTGAATAAATATAACGCATACCTTATCAAGAAGGTGGTTGAAGGAATGAGGGAGGCTATGTGCACAATGACGATACCGGTGGAAACTTTCAAGTGGGAATACAGTTTTACAGTTTAGTAGGATTATTGTGTTTTTTGAAATAAGGGCAAAACCCAGAATAATCTGTGCAAATAAGAATAATGCAAACATGCATTTCCATCTCACTTCATGAGATGGAAATGCATGTTTGTATTATTCCTCCACCCTCTATCCATCTATTTATCTTTCTACCTGTTCTTCTGTGTAGGGATCTTTGGAGGAACATATCGTCGTTGTTGGAGATAAAAACTGTAACGTGCAGGAGGCCTCGCTCAGGTATGACCATGCACAGGAATCAAAGCACAGTCTATAAATCAAGATAGAATAAATCTACCTTTTTGATCTCACATTGGGAAATGGTTCATGATACAGCAGCATGTTTATAAGGCACATTGCACATGAGTTTAAAATGCAATAATATTCAATAAGATAAAAAACACAAACACTAAATATATACATATCATAAGAGCAGAAAGCTAAATATCTATAGAATACACAATAAAATATGTTAGAATACACTTTAATAGAACAACTTACTATGACAATAAAATATCTAAACATATGATACTTTATACACACCTATTAAAATAAAAAAACTGCAACTTGCATTTTGTTGTTTTAAGTGTCCAAATAATTATTAATTAAAAAATAATATGATGTATTAATAAATCAATGAGCAGGTTTTTGCTTAGGCCACCAAAACATATTCAGCCGTTCAACATGTTGTGTTTGGTTGTTTTTTAAAGTTTTTACAGAAACATCTTCTCTCCTTTAAAAAATGGTCCTTACAGTAGAGTCAGTCAGTACAGAGCCTACACGGTCAGGAAGAAAGCCATTGTCAGTCGTGCTCCATTGTCTTGAAATTAGGCTTCCTCCTCCTCCTCCTCCATCTTCCTGAGTCATGCCAACTGTCAACACATTGTCTCAGCCAATCTCCGCACACCCTTCTGCTCGAGCTGATTATCCCCCTGAATATTCATGAGGATTATCGCTGTAGCTCAAAACATTACATCACCTGCAGCTCATTCTTACAAGCAAGGCTTTCATCGACTGTCAGGCAAATCCCTGTCGCCGGGTCGTATCCGAGGCAGACAGTGGAACACGCTGTTTCAATATCAAAATACTTTGTAATGACGGAGGAAATGTAGGTTTTGACAGTTGCAAAATACAAAATAAATAACATTTAATAGAATAAATATTATATAAACATAAGAAGTTAAAGAAAAATGTGCATATTGTACTACAATATAAAACAATTAATATGTAAACATTTGTAAATTACAATTTATACAGTTGTGTATGTAAGTATTAATAAAGATATCAACACTTTTTTTCTGGTATTTTCCCATAAACGCCTTTCAAATCTTAATTTATAAAGTAATTGTTTATTATCTTAAGGATATTTTAATCAATGTAAAATGATTTATTATAACCTGTCATGTGAGCAGAGTTTTCTTGAAATATATATACTGTATATTCTACTGAAATGTCACATTAAAGGTGGGGTAGGTAAGTTTGAGAAACCGGCTCGAGATACACTTTTTGTTATATTCCATGGAATGCTCTTAACATCCCGATAGCAATGAATATCTGAAGTGCTTTGACAAAAAATCCATAAAAAAATGTCATCTGTGGAAGCCGTAGTACTGTAAAAAGCACGACCAATCATTTTAGCCGGCCCGGCTAAAATAACTGGATGGCCTACCTGCCTGTCAGCCTTCCATCTGTGCACAAACTTATCTCGTGCCCTCATTAGTCATGTGCGCGTTCGTGTGTGTTGGAGGAGGGGCTCTGTAAGGAAGTGGCAGATTTTTTCCGGCTGTGTATTTTCATATTCTAGCGCACTCGAGCTGGTTTCTCCAAAATTACCTACCCCACCTTTAATTAGACAAATAAAATAAAAAATATCATAAATGAAGTATGTGCCATCTGTTTCCAGGTTGAAGGTGCGTACGGGACGGATGGGCAGTAACTCGTCTCTGACTGTCGTCAGTCGCCCCGACAACCAGGACTCCTGGGACCTGCTCAAACCTGCCTCCTTGGGCTCATCAGCCGGGGCCAGGTCAGTCTGTGTGTCTGTATGAACTAAAGAGCAAAAGTTATTTCATACTTCATGAAAAATTGAAACGTAGTCCAAAAGATTGAGATGATTTCACACATTGACAGAACTAACCTGGGTCCCACTCACCCCCCCCCCCTGCCTGAAACACCTCCATTGGACTCCTTTGTTTACTTCCGTAACATGATGACATCCCTATGTAACACACGATTCTTTTGGCTAGCGTTACAACAGATTGTACGTGATAGACTAAGGGGCGGGACATCTCTCAGCCGTTGACCAATCAAAGCAGACTGGGCTCTGGTTTCAGACAGAGGGTGAAAAGAGGTGTTGCAGCACAGGCAGTATGAGAAATATAAAGAGCTTTTTGAACATTAAAACATGGAGACATGTCGCAGTAGAGACACTACATACTGATATGAACCTGAAAATGAGCTAAAAAGGGGCCCCTTTAACCTACTTTAGCTGTTGGTACCGTAAGAGTAGGAAGAAAGAAAAGGCTTGACCATTCAGATATAAAGAAGGAAGAATAAAGAAGGATAGAAAGTAACGGTATGAAGATGGGATTTAAAGAAAGAGATTACAGCACCCACCTGCTTTTACTTACTATCTGAAGAGTAAAGTATAAAATACACAATAATCTTAGATGTTGTCTTCCAATGTGTTGCTTGGTCTTTGCTGACATCTGTTGGCGTGTTTGAGTATCTGTGTTGAGTCACATGACTTGAGTTCTGCCTGGATACTGCTGCCGTCTCCGCTCAATAAGTGTTTACAGTAGGATGACACAAAAATGCAGACGCTTGACCAGACAATTCACAAAAGGCCCCCGAGGCCCCGGGCTCATTGATGCAGTAAACGCTCGCTCTGTTCGGCCTCTTTATCTCCTACAGTCTGGAGAATGTCCCCTCTGCTGTGCTGACACAATGAAGCCATTAATCAATAACTCTATCACACAGCATTCAATCAGGAAAGATAATCCCTTAACTATATTATCTAGCAACATTTGATACTACTGTTTTTTTCAAAGCTTGAGGGACTTTAAATATATGACTGTGGGTTGCTGTGAGGATTTTCTCTCTGGAGTGGAGCATAAATCTATACGTCTGCTTATTATTTCTCTTTTTTCATGTCCATCAGTGTGGAGAGGCTGGCTGAAGACGTAAGCCCCTCTGTCCCCAAGATGCCCTCTGAGCCCGTCTGCGAAGCCACGGCACCAAAGGTAAAACCATTATTAATAGTTGAATTATTTACTCTGGTGCGTTTACATTTTTTGAACATGGAAATAATAGCCATGAATCTTTGAATACATGTACACAGTGTTTACTGTTAGTGAAAGCTTGAGTATGAATGTTCAGTTATATTTTCAATGGCAGTCAGTAATCTAATTGAATGTATTTAATAAGGGTACAGTTACAGAGTTTAAATGTTTCATTGTATTATTAAAGATGGACAAAAAGGTGACTTTGCCAGATAATCTTCAATGCTACAATACACTGTGTAAGGAGCTCCACAGTCCTACTATTCAATTCATTTTATTCAACTAGATTTGACCTTTAATTAAAAAATGTAAGGTCAAATCTTAAAACAATAATGGAAATATGCAAAATGACATACTATGGATAAACTATCCAAAGCTTTAGAAACAGTTACCCAAACACTAATCACAAAGTTTTATCATATTACTACTAAACAATATGTATTACTAACACATCTAGAATTGTACATGTGTTATACAGAACATATTAAAAGCTAAAAAGATCTTAATAATGCATTCCTAAATAAAGAGTGTGGCACGTGTAATCTGAGGGAACATCTTATTAATAAAGATGTGTTTTGCATGCCACATGTATAGTTCCTCTGTGAAACCAAATGTAAAAACATTGATTCATAAAAAACTTGTCTAAGTTTTCTGTGTTGACATGTTTTGGTTTGTATCATTGTGCAGGTTAAAGCAGACGAAGTTGACCTGCCAAGCTCCGCCCCTCTGTCTGACAACCTGATCGATTTCACCGATCCAACCCCTGTGGTAAGATGCAATTCTACCTCATGTAAAACTCCTACAAATGATAATATCCTTAGGCGCTTTCACACCGCAGTACTTTTCCCACTTTAGTTCCGATACAGTTCCGAAATGTCACGTTCACACCAAAAAAATCCGGAACTAAAATTAGTTAATGAGAACTTTTTTACCCCCTTTTCAGTCCCTGTTGGAGAGCAGGTACTTTCGTGGGAGAAAAAGGTTCCTATGTCTGATTGGCTGGGCGGATTGCAAACCACGCCCCGTAAAACTCCCGAAAAGTTTTGTGAAGCCACCATTTTATTATCCTTGCATTAGCATTATTAGCATTAGCATTAGCCCAACGCACTAACGCAGAGAGACTAATTTATGGCAACACAAAATAAAACATGGGAGCGGTGGAGATGAGGAGGTGTCGGCGTTCTGGCGATTTACTCGGAAGGCTTCAGTAGAAGCTGCTGGGAGTCCCAGCAGCTTCTACTGAAGCCAGCCCCCAACTCCGGGGACTTCCGGCCGGGGACTTCGGGTGGCAGTATACGCCGTGAAGTTGTTTGCGGCCTGCCAGTAAACCCAAAGCAGAAGAAGAAGAAGTGACGTCAGCAGCTTAATTTGCCTAATCCTCCCCCAGGGATTTATTCCGGTGTGAACGCGATCTGTACTTAGTTCATCAGAACTAAAGAGTTCTCATGAACCTTTGTGGGAAAAGTACTGCGGTGTGAAAGCCCCTCTTAACTCATTTAAAGCATATTTGTGTATGAACCTTTTAAGATTCCAATGCTACCAGTTTTAAGTGCAAAAGCATTTCTATAAGCCTTCTCCATCGCTGCCCCCCCCCCTCCCCCCTATGGAATTCACTCCCACAACCAATCAGAGACTGCACTCCCACCTTCAAAACACTGACCAAAACTCAGCTTTTTAGACTAGCTTTTAATGTGCTGTGTCCTTGTGGCAAATGTTGTTTTATTGCTCGACTTTACTTTGAACTTTGTATTTTACCTTTTAGGGCTTGATAAATAAAATGTACTATTATTTTTAACAGAATGACTTACAAATGATGACTTGATGCCATCACTGCCTTTAGATTTAGGACATAAAGTTGTCTTATTTAGCCACTTGCTAGCAACCGCCTTTGTTTAAGACATGTAAAAGCTTCAGACATTAGCGAGCTGGGTATTTACTGACATTTACTCACAACAAATCTCATAAGCTTGTTTTACCACCGATCATTTCTCTCACATATATTCACCTGGAAACGTTAACTCATGTTGTGGTTTCGGACTCATTCCTGCACCAGTCTAATCAATGTGAAAATATTTGAATTGTTTTTCAGTTGCCTGCAGTGCCGCCGCCCAAACCTGTCATCACTCCTCGCTGGATCATCCCTACCACTGCTGTGAGTATCACTCTGATTTGAATCTGTCTAACTTCTCTCCTGATCAACCGTCTGCCTTTATCCCCACAGGTTCTAATGAAGTTAAACATTTTCATGTTTATTGCATTTTTTTTTAAATGTCCTGACACTGGTGATTCATGACTCAGCGTTTATCTTCCACATGCACTTGCTTAGTCGCTGTTCTCATTGGCTGGTGTAGAGGCTCTGTAGAGAATGACCTCCCCCCTTCTCCCCCCCCCCCCTTCTAATGCAGCCTCCCGGCGTCTTTACTAACGGCCTGCTCGACCTTGACCCCCCTGCTAAGGTCAACCCTCCTCTCCCCCCAGATGTGGGAGCAGCTTTCACCCCAGCCCTCCCCCCACGTAACAACGCCTCGGCCAGGTAAAACTCTTCACATTCAAACCCAAGTCGAGCTTGTTTTAGAGTACATTTGGTCGCATGCTGCCCCCTGCTGGAGTCACACTGCTACAGGAGGTCAGCTCTTCACTGCAGTTCTGCTTGGTCTCTGCTACTCTGAGAAATCATGAGCTCACTTAATGGCTTCTGGCAGTAAAACACAACTAGTAACTCAAACTGAATAGTGGTGAAATGTACATTTACTCAAGGACTGTATTTAAGTATAGTGTATTTAAATGTTATGCTACTTTATATTCCACTACATTTATTTGACAGCTTTAGTAGCGAGTTACTTTACATTTTGAGATTATTAAATATTACAAAAAAACATGAATTATTTAATAAACATCGACATAATTATACGTTCAAATCCAGCAGCAGTTTACAAAGTCATTTGAATACCAGCTGTAATGGACACATAATTGCATCTATAATCATCTATTCATTTATATACAGTATACTATATACAATTCTGTAATGACCTCTTGTGCTTTTGATACTTTAACTATATTTTCTGACCAATACATTTGTGCTTTTACCTAAGTTAGATTTTGAATCCAGGGTTTTCCTTTTAACAGAGCATTTTTACTATTTAAAACTTGAACATGTACCCCCCCCCCCCCCCCCTGCAGCACTATGGGAAAGCCGCCAGCCTCGGAGGATGGAGCCAAACTCAGAGGTCTCCTGACCACTGAGCTCTGAGGGGAAAAAACAGGAGCAGCCATCGCAACGTTCACCCCCCCACCCCCCTAAGCTCCTCACCCATCACACACACAAGCAAGCTGGATCAGATGTGCTGTGGGCTAAAAGGAGAGTGAAAACAGGGGGAGGCAAACCCTTCACGTAACACAGAAAAGAAAAGAGATATGACAGATGTTCACAATAACACGACACCAAGCCTAGTCAAGCGACATGTAGCACCAGTATTAACATATAGAGAACACTTGTGGTGTGAACTGTATGCTGTCAGTGCTTAAGGTACATACGGCTCAAAGGGTAAGTTGTTTTCCCTCCCCCCCCCCCCCCTTTTTGAGTCATGCTGTTTATTACTGGTGGATCCCTGCTACTGTGAGATCTTCTGAACACACAGCTTTAGAGCTGGAGAACACTGGATGAAGGACTGACATCTATAACAAAGAAAGACTTTAAATGTTGATCCCAAGAGATTTAAACGCGAGGACTCTTAACAAGATGGATATGATACTGTTCTGTCCTTGTAGCAATTTGTTGTTTTTAATCCCACTCAATACTACACTTGCTCTGTTGGTAGCCACTGGATGTACTGTAAGAACTTCACTGGATTATTTTTGCAACACTGGACCTTTTGATGACACTAGAGGTGACCACTTTAATTTTTCAACGGTTTTCATTATCCTGCTTTTTTTGTCTGTTTTTATGTGTATGCCCATCACAGTGCTTCTCACATATTTCTGTAGCAGCATGAGGACGTTTCGAACATCACTAACAAAATGTTTTTCTGTGTCACTTTCTGGACCTTATCAGGACTTTGAGTGAAAGTTGGAGATGAAATATGATCTTATACTTGGTGTCCTTGAAAGCACCGCCTCTACCCGTGACAGTTTTTCACTCATGATTATTTCTATGTTGGCAATGTGAAAGCAGGAGTGGTTCGGTTGCTGTGGAAACCTTTGAATCTACTGTGATCCCAGCTGGATTACCAAACTGGAAATCTGAATTATTATAACACTGGATGTTAGAGCAGCGTATTCTGGCCTTTTTTAGGAAAAGAATGATTACAAGCTGGGGGAGGAGGCGTGATATTCCAGGATGTATTATCTGACATTAAAAGGGTTAGTTTACGAGAAAAAAAACTCACTAATATAAGAAGAAAAATGAATAATCTATGAAAGTACAGTCAGAAAAGTGAAGGAAAACCTTTCAAAGTGACATAAAACACAATATTTAGCGGTTCCTTTCACATCATTTCTTTACATTTTGAGATTTTCTGAGACAAATGAATTTACTCCATAATTTATAATCTCTGAGATTTAATCTTTTTTCTCCGAATATCGCCCCCTCCTTCTGCTCTGTATTTTTGTTGAAGTTGGCCTTTCTCTACCCTGTTGTAACACATCTCTCCCGGTATTAACGTGCTGTAGTTATGGCCCCACCTTATGGAAATGAATGTATTCAGAAAATCTGGAAAAGACACAGTATGAAAACGTGTTTATCTAAAAATGTGCTGACAGTTTATACCCGACAGAAAACATGTGAAATATCTTCAAAGCTGGTTTTATAAATGTGAAACTGAGGCCTAATTCTACATTTTCTGAGTTATTAATGAAGTATATCACATTTACTTTTTTTTTTTTTTATCTCAGTCCCCTTTACGTATTAACCACCCAGTCGGGACCCTCATTGAAATGATCTCTGAAAGGGATGTCATGAGTGTTTTTACAATGTCTTCTTAGCAGTGACAGTTATTTATGCTACTCCTCAGTGTGATTGTTCAAATATGACATGTTGTCCAAAAGTGTTGTAGCGTACAGTGATTATGTATTGTCAGTATTATGACATCAGCTGGCTGTAGATACGAAGTAGATTTATATATATTTTTTGAAAATGATGTTGGCAGTATACACACTGAGCAGAACTCTGCATTGTTGTATTTTCTAATTGAAGTAGGGAACATATTACTGACTGGAAAACAAATAGTGACGTCTCAAATGCAATTTTATATAAACTTTTATTATTTTTTTTCTGGAATACCTGATCATAATTCAGTAAAGCTTTGCTACAGTAGAAGTCAATTGTTCTTGATTCTTTTATTACTGTCTGGCTACTGTTGAAATGATTTGCTTATCAGTGATTACATTTGGATTTAATGCGAGACTACACGATCTGATTCGCTGTCTGCTGGGCCATGTGATCTCTGTCATGTTAGACCAGCTGAAACAATGACCCGGACCACTGAGGGGGGAAACATCTGATTTCATAGTCCTGTTTAAATTGCCTTGCTCTGGAAAGCTATTGTATCGTTATCAGAAGTTGAGTAATAACAACTGACTGTTTCATATAATAACAAAGTGCTTTTCTTTCCCTCGCAGCCCCCCTTATTTTTTGAAGAGTAATCTCCAAAACATTGAACATGGTTTTCTTAGATCTTGTTGTTTACAGAGGAAACATATTCTTCTTATACTCCCAGGTCCCAGGACATCATTTATTAAGATAATTACAGTAACAACAGGCTCATGTCAAACCATTATTCTCCATTAGTCCAAACATCCATCTCTCTTTCAGTTATTGCTCATTGGTTGACACCAAAGAGCAGAATGGAGGGCACTACAGAACAATGTGAGACCCTTTGCCTTTTATTAGTTAATGAACAGTATAATACACTGCTCCAACTGTTTGTAGTTTGTACAGTGTGAGATGTTTTGTATTTAAATCGCCCCCCAGACTTTTCTTTACAGATGCACTCTGATCGCATGTTTGTGTTTCAATTAAGTATTTGTACAATTCAGCGTACACAACTCACCAATCTATGTAGTGAAGGTGGTAAGAGTCTACAATAATTACTCTACTCCTTTTTTATGTACTTGTATACAGTATCAGACTTTTTAACAACAGACATTTCATTTATCATGATAGAATGAGCCCAGACTTGCTAATAACATTGTCTGTATCAAATCAAATCAAATCAAATCAAATCAAATCAAGGTTTATTTATAAAGCACATTTAAAAGCGATTTTTGGTCGGGCCAAAGTGCTGTACATGTAATAACTACAATCACATAAAAACACATTTCTATAATCACAATAAAAGACAATAAATTACAACAGATATTTAAAAAGAAAACACACAAGGAAAAGTCAGGAGTCGTGCTCCGCTCTGACTAAAAGGCCAGGGAGAAGAAGTGTGTCTTAAGAGTAGATTTAAAAACCCCTAGGGTCTGGGCCGACCTCACATGGAGGGGCAGCGTGTTCCAGAGCCTCGGGCCAGCTGCTGCGAAGGCTCGGTGCCCTCGGGTTTTGAGCCTGGTCTTGGGCACTATCAGCAGCAGCTGGTCAGCAGACCTTAAAGCTCTTGTTGGGGTGTAGCGCTGGAGGAGTTCAGCTATATAGGCCGGAGCCAGCCCATTTAGTGCTTTAAAAACAAATAAAAGGAGTTTAAAATCAATTCGGAACCGAATTGGAAGCCAGTGCAGTGAGGCCAGAATTGGGGTGATGTGGTCACGCTTTTTGTGGCCAGTGAGTAGACGTGCAGCTGCGTTCTGGACTAGCTGCAGGCGTTTAATTGACGCCTGGTCCATACCCACGTACAGAGCGTTACAGTAGTCCAACCTCGAGGTAACAAAGGCATTAATAACCCTTTCCAGGTCCTCAAACGATAAAAACGACTTGATTATAATGATTGATCATTAAAGTGTTCTCAAAGCTGGTAAAGGTGCAGCTAGTTATAATGACTTTGGATACTGCAGGGTAGCTTGTGAATTTACTCCAGGTGGAACTAAAGTCTGATTTAGGTGTTATATGTATATTTCACATCATTCATCCAAATCTGTAAAGTAACTAAAGGTATTAAATAAATGTAGTGGAGTAAAAGTACAACGTAGCATATATGGAAATTATCAAGTAAAGTACAATAATCTCAAAATTATACTCAAGTACAGTACTTGAGTAAATGTACTTAGTTACTTCCCACCTCTGAATTGAACCGTAGCCTAAAGGGAGCAAAAAGAGTGAATCCAAAGGCCTTTTGAACTGTAATTCTGGTGGACCAATATCTTAGATTATATATCCGCACTCTTGCTGTTGGTCTCTGAACTGTAAACACATTCTATCTGCAGTTTATCCAGCTGTTAACAGTCTCTAATGCATGTTAGCCAATCCACCACTGGGGGGCAGCACAGCACCATCTTTTACCGTCTAGTCTCAGATCTCCTCCATGCTCTTCCTGCAGAAATGCGCATATCTAAATGATGAGGATTAGATACATTAGAATCTAAGCAATCTGAACAGAAAACCTTCAAAGACGTTGCTGTTGATTTAATGTGTTTTTATCTTATTAATCAAGGGGCATCATTAGCTTAAACCTTATAAGACTACAACACATTGACTTTCCTAACAAAGGCAACTTGTTCTAAAGGAAGTGTTTGCTGTTTTATTCAACTATTGTCTCTTTTCTACCACTTTATTCTCTTGAGTGTAGTGTGGATCCAGAGGGGCTCAGTAGCAGTGGATCTTTTTTTTTAATAACAATATGTAATTATCATTTTCCTATGATATATTATAAAACTCTTCACAAACCCAACCAAAGATTTGAACAGGATTTCAGTGAATATTTCCCCCTGGATAAACTTTGCCATGTCTATAAATCAAATTCTAATATCTTCAGGTTCAAGAGTAGTGTCTCATTTGCTCAGGGAGTCTGTTAATCTGATTGGATATGAGCGATGTCACAGCACTTATTTGTGAGAGTGGATAGGTATTAGCTTGGTGAAATATCGAGGCTCACACACTTCTCTTCTGGGCAGTTAAAGCCTCCCCCCCCCCCCCCCCCCCACACACACACACTTTTTTTTTGACAAATGAACTGTCCATCATCTCTTCAGCTGCTTCATTAATGAAAACACAACACATCATGTGACTTTGAGGCAATGTACTGTAAGTAGCATGTGCTAGTGCTAATGGGGATTCTAATACAGACCAAATAAATAAATCTAGCTTACTATGGACCACAGTTTGGAGGCTGTTGCTTTTTTTTTTAAAGACAGTAAACTGGATTTCATCATGTGAGAATATCTTCAATCAGTACCAGGCAGAAAGGGCAAAGACTCTGCTGTTATTTGTCAATTGCCATATTGGTTTACATTTCAAAATGCAGCGATTTGAAAGTGATTGACTGCGAGTGGTCTGCGCTACAGAGCAACACATATCTGGAGCATTATTAAGCATCAGACAGCCCAATAACTCAGCCAGGACCACTCCCTCAGCAGATGGGCCGCCCTCACCCACCTCCAGATGAATAATTGATTAGGTACATGGACCTTATGCCAGGTTATGATTGCTTAAGCATGCTCACAGCTCGGGGTGGATCCTGGAGATTTGGCTCCAGGCCCGTTCCCCAGATGTCCCCAGATCAGATCCCACTAAAGCAAACATTATGTCCTTGATTACATTTATATATTCTTAAAATTATGTCAGTGCAGTTTTTCTGAACTCTCACCTCGAGATTTTTGAATGAAAATAGGTTGGGTTTGACCTAAAGGGTAAGCATGCGAACAGTTGTTGCCTGTGGCTGGATAAAGATGGGGGGCTTCAGTCAGTATTCTCAATGAATACCCCCCATGCGGATGTCGTGTTTGTAGCCAGCTAGTTTTGAGCTAACCTCTGTTCAGAAGGTACATTGGTCTGTTGGGGTGAATAATCACAGACTTCTAAAAACGGTACAGTGATAAGGTTTGCATCCCTTTCTGTCTGATATCACTTTAAGCAGGAACGTTTGAATAACTTGTGCTTAAGATAAGTTTTCCAAATGAATCTCAGATCCGAGTTTTGAACAGAAACCTGTATCAAGCAGGTTTGGTTCCAATTAAAACCCCTTTTTCTCATTCTGGCAAAAACCCAGATGCTCCACAACTGCCTCTGCATCTGTCTGTACTGCTTTCTCTGTTCTGATGAAGTTTCCTGTTTCTGCAGAATAAACTAACCTCAATGGAAAAGTTTCATCCAGCAAAAGATGAACAAATGGTGGCGCATCTGTACGGTGAGAGGTGACACCTTGAGATTCTGCTGTATGTGTGTGTCGAGCGGTAAAAAGACATTCTCTCTGCGTCTTTCCCTCTTTCTCTTACACACACACACACACACACACACACACACACACACACACACACACACACACACACACACACACACACACACACACACACACAGATTCTCTCCGTCAGTCATTACAATAAAGGCCATTGTGCTGTTTGGCGAGCTGTTGCAGGAGATAGCATTCTCTGACGGGGCATTTTGAAAAGAAGCTTATACATCTCAACTATCAGAATAGGTTTATAGCCTTGGCGTGTGAGCGAGTGTGTGGTTGAGGGGAGGTATTCATAGTGATGGCTTTGAGATGATAAAGACGTGAGTGAGCAGTAATAGATCCCTAAAGGGCTGCATTGTGTCAGTAAGGGTGCATTTTATACATTTGGATGTGTGTGCCAGGTGAGGTTTTTCATTTTCTTTTTTATCAGGTGTTCTACGGAAGTCCGTCGAGACAAAAATAATCTGTTGATCTATTTGCTAAATCTGATCTAAAACGTTTTTTCTCCTGTGTTGATGGCTTCAGAACAGGTGAAAGGAATGTTTTGACAGGTACATTTACATTTTTTATCAGGAATTGATTTGAAGCGTTTGTTGTTGTCATACCCAGATCTTCACAAGACGATGAAGTGCACCACTGCCTCATGCATTCTTCTTTTCTACCAAGACGAAAACATTTTTAACAAAAGTGTTTTTTCTAACTTGTCTAGGCTTCTGTTTATTCAGTAAACTTAAGACCCCTGGCTAACGTGACGTGAAGTGTGATTAGTCAATCGCATAGTCCCGCCCCTTAGCCTATCACATACAATGTGTTGCAGCGCTAGCCAATAGGAGTGTGAGTGTTAGTGATATCACTAACACTCACACTCCTGGGGGGGGGGGGAGATATTCTCCCTCTGGAGGGAACACAGGGATTTTAGTCTTTCCAGACCATTTACATACACAAAAACCTATACAACACACTACAGGAAAGGGAAAAACCCCCAAAAAGCAG